CGATGAGCACAGATGTCAGGGTCTGCAGCTTAAATTTATTTTCTGGCGCCAGACTCGTGTGATGCAGTGTCCGGATCCGTTGCACGACGGTGGGCACGTCCTTTTCATCGACATCTTCTAGTATCTCGAGGAGCTCCTCGTGCGTGTCTGGACAGGGGAACGTGAAAGGCAGTTCTTTTGCTCGTGATTTGCCTTTGTCCTTGGATTTTTTTGACGATGCGACGAGCTCCTCGTGGTCGCCCTCGACTTCGGACTCTGGTTCTTCATCGTCATCCTCGTCTCCGTTTCCTTCCCCATCCTCGTCCTCCCCTTCATCCTCATCCTCGTCGCTATCCTCGTCATCCTCATCCTCGTCGCTTTCCTCATCAGCCGCACCTTGGACATCCAGTCCAGTGCCGATACCACCCCAATCCTCTTCGTCGTCCTGGAAATCGTCGTCCAAATCGTCACCACCGCGTCTGCGCTTCTTCTTCGACCGCCCGCCTTCGTCCTCGCTGTCGCTGTCCTCGAGCCCCAGCATCCGCTTGCGCCTCTGCCGCTCCGCCTTCTCGAGAGCCTCCTTCTCCGCGAGCGCGACCTCCTCCTCCGTCTTCGTGCGGTCCTTCGGTTTCGCGCGCGCGTCGAACGCGAGCTCGCGTACCCGCTGGTCGTAGTCTACGTCCTGGGTTTCGATCGTGGCTTCGACGGACTTGAGAGGTGCGCCCTCGCCGAGCGGGATGGAGTTGCTACCGGACGCTGATGGGTCCGGAGCATAGATGAGGGCGCGGAGCGCGTCGAATTCCTGATCGAGCTCGTGCCGGACGTTGTCTCCTTCCTCGCGCTCCATTTGCCGGCGCATCTGGGTGCATAAAGCTCAGGGGGGGAAGAATCTGGAGTGGGTTTGGACATACCTTATGCTCCTTGCTTTTCGCGATGACTTCTGCCATGACTTCGGCTTTCGACTTTTGTCGGTCGGGCTGTGGGTGGATGTGAGGAGCGTGAGTTTGGAGATAGACGGGATACATACGTCTTCCTCCTCGTCCTCATCGTCAGAGAAACCCTTGAAATGAGTCCTTCTCACGACGTCCGCATCGATTTTACCTAGAAAGGGTAAGCTGGTATCTCGACTCTCGAACGGAGGGTGTTTCACCAGCTCCCGTCTCCTCCTCATCCTCGTCGTCTAGCGTGATACCCACAGGATCGAAGTCGTCCATCTTCGAGAGACTTTGCCCGTAATGCGTCAAGTCCTCTTCGTCCTCCAGATTGAATACATTCGTTTTCATCGTTTGCTGCCGTTCGCGCGTGAACCGCTCCAGCATGCGCTCTTCAAGCCCCATTGTCGGATCGTTCTCTCCGAACCGTCGGTCGACGATCCCTCCTGCGCGGCCCCGCTCTTCGAACTCCTTGAGCAGCGTTTTTTTCCGCTGCAGGCAAGCGTCGGGCACTGGTTATCGCGCCTAGACGGAAAGGGCGACGCACCTGGTCGAGCCCAGCCTGCTTGCTCTGCGACGGCTTCCCCGTGACACCCTTGAGCTTACGCCCGCCGACGTCGTGCTTGAGCCGGGTGACCTTTTCGTCGAACGGATTCAGGCGGCGGTGGATCTCGTCGAGCTTCGCGGCCTTTTTGGCGCGGTCCTTCTCGAGCGAGACGGGTGCGGCGCGCTTGCGCTTCTTGCTGTTCTGCGGGGGGCCTGTGATGCCCGCATTGGATAGCGCGGATTTGAGCTGGCTCAGTTGGGAGCCCTTGGCCATTTTGGTCAGGGAGAGAAATTACGACGGATCACGATCACGTTGGTCCATCCGATGGACGGGCAATCCACTAGGGTTAGGGCCAGATTGGGGACACTTTTGACCACACGACATCGCGAAATCTAGCCAACGAAAGCGATGATAACAATGGAGAATAGCATGATGCATAAAAGCTACGAGTCAGAGTCCGACTGAGCTCTCACTCGGGGGCAAACAGGCGTATCAGCTCTAGGGTCCCGTATGAAAGGTTCCGCATACAGATAGGGACAAGCGGGGTACCCAAACAAGTTGCAATCGCGGCAAGGAATTCTGCGAACGAAAGTACAGCGCGGATCGCACTGGCAGTCTCGAAGACGATATGTCTTGTGCCAGCAAGATGCCCCTCCCTGGATGTCTTCGTCATCGACTACTGGGCCCATGTCGAGGTACCTGACGATGAGCTGTGCGATATCTGAATCGTCTATGCGGCTCATATCGGGACGCCGACCAAAGCTTGTCGCATCCTCCATGATTTGGTACGCATATTCGGATTCAGGCTCGCCGGGGGATGATGCACTGAATCCTTCCACCCAGAAGTCGTCGCGGCCCATGTAGATGTGCCACAAGCTCATCCCGAGCGCATAATGGTCTTCAGCAAGGGTGGGCGGTGCCAATCCACCCGAGCGCGCGCGGTTGGCAGGCGAGTAAGGTAGCGTCGGCCCGTCTGTCTCGTAGCCGTCACCAACGACGCACGAGTAGCCAAAGTCGCAGAATCGGAGCGTACTGTCCGAGCAGAGGAGGATATTGTCTGGTTTGATGTCACCGTGCAGCAGCCCCTTGGCGTGAAATTGCTGCGTTAACGCGCACAGCTCGTGTGCGAGGCCGACGCGTTCCCTCTTGAGCATCGTGGGCAGTGCGGCTGAGAGCACAGTCTCGCATGGCATCAACACTCCCACCACGCGATCGTCATTCGTCGCGAAGAGGCGTCCGATGAAGGGAACTGCGCAGTCTCCCGCCAGTTGTACGATAGCGGCCTCTCGGGTGATCTGCTCGGGAACGAGCATCATCTTGAAAAAGATCTTCCGAGTGCCTTTGACGAACATAAAATTGCGGCTTCGGTTGGCTGCTTCCGGCATCCCCAACTCCGAAGAAAACCTAAAATCTTCTGGCCATGCCCCGAACGGGGCATCAGCGTCAAACCGTTCTGTACATGAGGTTCACGACCTGAAGCCTCGGATTGTCAGATTTACTTGCCAGAGAAATTGATTTCAGTGCAAGAGAGTAGCGTTTTGGGAGGCGTGTTTTCGGTTTGGAGCTCGTCCGCCGTTAAGGACATAATCATGATCAGTGAAGAAGTTGAATGTCACGTTCAACGGCCGTTATGGGTCGTCACGTTCCTTCGATCTGTTACCTGTGGCCGCGCGGGGGACATGCTACCTGATTCTGTGTGTATGCTGAGAGCGTCTCGAAAGATGTGTCCAATATTTTGGCTCCGTGCACCAAGAGACACATGCTGCAGTGAAGACGGTCGTTTTTACCTCAAAATCAGCTCTTTGAGATCATCTATGCACCGGAAACCTTGCACAGTTGAAGAGCCGTGTGGACGTTAATGAAAAAACTTGCTCTACTCACGCTGTCTGGAACTATTCTGACAGCTTTCTTACTCCATGTGGACCGGTGGTGTTACAGCACACCAACATTCCACAAAGAACACCAGGGCTATGCCTACTGCACAAGCTTTTGATGTGCCAATGATAGTGAAGTATCTACTGTTACAATGATCCTCCATCCTGCGGAGTATGTGCGGATCCTGGGAGGCCAACAAATTTGAGTCAGCCTTCTCAAAATCACCTGAGTCGCGGGCAAAAGGAAAGAGATATCTATCTGAAGCTCACGTTTTACAGCTTCGGGTCGATGAATATGCATGCTACATAAATAGATGCCCGTAGGTAGAGGAAGTGGATATGTCCAGGATTCTCCTTTGACACCCAGATTCATCTGACGGGCTAATGTAATGCACACCCGGCAGACATGGACTGTGGGTACACACATCACTGTCGGACTTTGTGATAGCACAACTTCCAAGACTCCATATTATCTGTGGGGAGTCTCCAGAAGCATTTGGACAGCTACAACGTTCCGGCGAGACAAGAAACGGTCCAATCTATGGCATAGAATGGGCAGTGGTGTGATCTACATAGTACAGGGAGACTCTAGATAGCACTGGACTCGAACCAGTCGCTATTTGGTATACTCAAATAGCAGCTCGAGCCTCATATAGAAAGTGGAAAGACTTGGAATTCGAGCAAAACTACTGCCAAAATGAGTCGGAAGCAAAGATTATTGCTCCGATTAGCTCCGGTGGGCTGCCAGCGGTCAAGTTATTCCAGTCTCTACAGTGACAGATTCATCTTACACGGCAGCCCTACGAATGGTGGTCGGCAACGCCTGCCAAAAACGTGTGATCGCAGAAGTGGGTCCTTCCTCATCAGGAAGTCGGAGTCCCTATTACTTCCTCTTTCTTTCGATATCTCGTCGTTGCGTCTCCTGACTCTCCCATATACGAGCTTTTCCCGTTCTCGGGTCCTTTCTATGATTGGACTCGCCGGGCAGTATCCACGACTGGTCGCATTACGCGTCGCCCGCATCGCACGAGCAGTTCAAGAAGCTCCGGCTGTGGGTCGACACGCCCCGGGCCGCGCTTGTCCGCGTGCTGGGCCGCGACGTGCACTTCCCGAGCCGGCATATCCTCTACGGCGAGTGGCTCGCCGCGACGCACGCGATCCCGTACGAGACGCTGCCGGACCGCTTCCTCGCGTTCGATCTGTACGACCAGCGCACGGACACGTGGGCCGCTCGTGTGGCGCTCGCGGCGCTCCTGCACGACACTGCGATCCGCCTTGTCCCGCTCCATTTGAAACATTTGAGCTCTGATCCTGTTACGTCAACGCCTTATCATTGAACACGAGCACCCCCTACATTGCATGGAAGATCTGAACACGAGCCAAATAGCAGTAAACAACGTGACCGATTTCAGGAAGATGATTCATGAAGCTCTACGGGACTCGATGATATGTAACACCGTTCAGAAAGAGCCGAATTGGCGGACCGAGGTTCGCGGATCTAATACCATGTCACCCCCCCTGATTATCAGGAAGTATTCTGTAGTACGACTGGAACGGTGCGAAAGTTTCGCATCACCCCGAAGTGATGCGAGAACGTACCGAGCTACTGCCCAGGCTCGACAATCCCATGTCCATCTACAGCGCGCTCCGGTCCAACCGCTCTTTCAAGGTCCTGGCCTCCGGCGATGCTACGGAAATCGTCCTTGCGAACCGGGGCCCCTGCCCCATTTAGCTTATACCGAAGTGCGATCCACGGGCGCGGCGCGTGTCCCCTCGAGAAGCCGGGTGCATCCAGCGCCTATAGATAAACGGAGCCGAATACAATCAATCCACTGCTCGCTCGAGAGAGCGAACCCAAGCCGCGCCTCTGATTCCTACTTGCTTGCAATGTCAGAGAAACGGCCCCCGGACCAGGACCAGGACGCGCACGCATGCGCACCAAGCCTGAGGCCCCCGCTGGCGAACGCGACCCCGGAATTCAACTCGAGCCGCTACACGCACACGCACACGCAGATCCTCAGCCCCGAGCTCGCGGCCGCGCTCTCAGCGGGCCCGCAGCTGCGCGCGACGAGCTGGGCGGCGCTGCGGCTGTATGGGGTGCTGGCGGTCTCCTTCATGGGCTCGCTCAGTTTCGGATTCGACAGCAGCGGTGCGTGCGCGTGCCTTCCTTTCCTTCCTTCCTTCCTTCCGCGCGTTCCCTCTCGCTCTGCCTGCTGTTCCTGAAATCGACCCCTTTTCCACAGTGGTCAGCTCCGTCAATGGCCTGATGTGCGTTCCGGCGGTTAAAACAATTATGTAACGCCGCCTGAGGGGTGCGAGAAGCCAGTTCACAGAGTACTTTGGGCTGGAAGGCGGGGATATCGGCGGGGGACAGGGTGCGCACTCCGCTCATTTCCGCACTCGATGGTTCCTCTTCCTCACAGCGCTGTAGGAATCATCACCGCTATGCTATACAGGTCAGGGGCACCGTGGCTGTGTATCCTTAAGTGACGGAGATTAATCATGATTACGTCGTCGTCGTTAGCATCTTCTCGCTGGGGTGCATCGCTGGATGTTCCGTCGCCGCGCCCGTCGCTGACCGCTGGGGCCGCCGTAGAGGAATGGTGAGGATGCGACACACAGCTGCGGAATGCTCGATCGCTGACCCAGCCGCAGCTCGTCGCGAGCCTCATCATCCTCATCGTGCGAAGGTCCCATCCACATCAAGTCCAACTGCTGACTACCAGATGACGGGTATGCTGCAGGGCGTCGCCGTCGTCACGGCTGCGCAGAGCCGCGCGTACCTCTTCGTCGGCCGTTTCTTCATCGGGTTCGGGTCGTCGCTGAACAACGCTGCTGCGTGCGTGTCCGCTGTCACTTTGCCTGTTCAGATCGTGAACTTGTTTTCCAGGCCTGCGTATGTCGCGGAGATGTCCCCACCCCAGGTGCGTGTGGCCCTCCCTGGGTCTCTTTGAGATCAGTACCTAACTGATTTGAAAGTGGCGCGGCCGTCTTGCTGGAATGTAAGCTGCTTGATATGTCTCAGGTATCGACCCTCATGAACACATAGATATAACAGTCAGACCTTGCATATACTACTCGACTCAAGCCAGTGACGATGACGCCCAATTCTAGCGTTCACGTTCGTTGGATCCCTAACCTGCTCGGGTCTCGTCATCGGCACGGGCCGCATCAGCTCAAGTCTCTCCTGGCGGCTCCCGTTCGCCATCCAACTCGTCCCGACGCTAATCCTCCTCGTCGGGGTCTTCTTCATTCCCGAGGCGAGTAACCCACATCGTCTTCCCTCCAACCGATCCATCTCACCGCCCAGCGCACTGCACCAGTCCCCCCGCTGGCTCATGTCCGTCGGCCGGCCGGGCGAGGCGCGCAGTGTTCTTGCCAAGTACCACGCCGCAGGGGACTCGGATGCGCCGCTTGTCGTGCTTGAGTTCCGCGAGCTCGAGCAGTGCATCGGGCCGGACCGCGCCGGCGCGCACCGTTGGTGGGACTACTCCGGCCTCGTCAATTCGTGGGGCGCGCGGTACCGGACGCTACTCACGTCGTATCTGGCGCTTTGCTGCCTGCTGTCTGGCACAGGCATCTTGTGCGTGATTTTCGGCGCAGGCTGGTTTAGATCTGGCGACTAGACGCGCACTCCTCTTGACAGCTACTTCGTCACCGTGGCTTTCGACTTGGCTGGAGGCTCGTCATTTCTTTTCTGACGACGATGCGTCGAGGCTGACCCAGGCCGCAGTGGCAACCCAGAACGCCCGGCTCGTGTTTTCCTTCATCAGCATCGCCGTCGGCGCGGCTGGCGCGCTGAGCGGGGCGCTCATCGCCGACCGAGGTAATCGGCTTGCACCCGACCGACGTCCTGATAGACCACTCACGCCATGCACCGCAGTCGGCCGGCGGACACTCTGGCTGGCAGGCAGCACGGCATGCACCGTCGTCCTCGTCCTCACCGCAGGTCCGTCCCCGCGCCGATGGCGGACCCGAAGCTGACGGCGGCACAGTCTTCATCGCGCGCAAAATCCACGCCGCGGCCGTGTCGTTCCTGGGTGCGTCTCTGCCGCCTTCCCCGTCGATCTTTCGGGGAAGACCGCTGACGCACGCACCGCGACGACAGTCCTCTTCAGCTTCGCACTGAACATGACGTACATCCCCCTCCAGGGCATGTACCCCGCCGAGTGCCTCGGCTACGCGCACAGAGCCAAGGGGCTCGCCCTGTGCGTCCCTTCCTCTCCTCCTCTTTCCCCCGCTCCCGCGATCGTTTCGGAGGCTTGACTCGCGGCGCAGATTCGCGCTGATCGAGAGCCTCGCGGCGCTCATCAACAACTTCGCGGGGTCTGTCGCGTTCCAGCGGATCGGCTGGCGCTACTTCCTCGTCCCCCTCGCGTTCAATGCGGTGCAGATCGTCGTCGTCTGGCTGTTCGCGGTCGAGACCAAGGGCCGCACGTTGTGCGTCTCCCGCTCTCTCGCCCCGTGGAGATCCTGGCCTTGCTCATGCACTTTCAGGGAGGAGCTGGATTTGATATTCCAGGCGCCAGATCCGGTCGCTGCTTCACTCAACAAGACGCGGCAGGCGTATTGAGTTCGTTTGCTTGTATTTGGCCGGTGTTGGAATCCGATCTCAGTTTCCCGCACTGCATTCCAGACATCGCCGGCGGATGGGATGTGCCTGCATTAGTCCTTTTATGTCGAATTCTCGGCCCTTCATTATGCACACGAATCGTTGAGGCGACCAAACCATAAGTAAAGTAATGAATCCAGTAAACTACGGCACGACTCTTGACTGTCAATTGCCTGATTTGCTGCGTTCCGAAACGTCCTCACAAACAGTCTGATCCTACAAGATCTCAACAAAAATCAACCCCCAAGGCGTCTCCGCGAAACGAACTGGTCCTCTGTCTTCTCCCCGCACAACACCATCTGCCCCGGTCGAATCGCCGCATACCGTTTCGGGTCCGCACCGCAAGTGCAGTTCACCGGGGGCTCTATCGTCCGTTCCGGCAAGAACTGCATGGTCTGATTAACGCCTTCGAGGGTGTAGATAGCGATGCGGCAGCGTACATTCCCGATATCATTGAGCGCGGGCTCCAGCAGCTCCGTCGCCAGGTCCAGTCCCCGCAGCTTCTTCCTTTCAGCACCTAGCCGTCCTCCCAGCTCCGTCCTCCCCATATCTGTCGCATCAATTCTGTCTCGCCACGGAACGCGCGAGTTTCTGACCCTTGTTTGAGAAACGCAGCAGGTGTTCTAGAGTTCAAATACACACAAAGTCCGCAGCAACCCGATGGTTTGGCTGTGCATTTCAATACTCATGATCAGTCATCGGCTGCTGACTCACAACTTGGCTGTAATGAAGACAAAGAACAAAAGGAGATCGTCGTGGTGGCCCTGTGAGTATACGATCTGCTGCTGCTGCTTCTGCTGCGAGGTGGCGGCAGACGACATACCACTTCAGGATCCGCGTGCGCGGTGATCGCTGCAGCGAGCATAGACAAGAAGGGAAGAACCGCCGTCTCGAGTGCCATGAATATCACTCTATGAATCACCGTCGTCGAATTTTCCAAGTCGGTGCTCGTCTTGCGAAGGAAGCTTGTCACTGTGTCCTTTCGAGTTAGCCACCGAGCCACCGACGAAGGACGGGTACTCGCGTATCACGGCAAAGCTGAGGTCCAGAACTGGTCGATATGAGGTCACCAGAGCGCAAACACCGACGAGCGTACCAGACGTACCGGCAGACACGATGACCCAGTAGGAGAAAACCGTGAGCGTCTTCAGAGCGTATGATCAGTCCGACAGTCGCCCCGTGACATCCACGTACATCTCTGAACATGTTTTCCAGTCTTTCATCCAGCTATCAAGGGGCGTATCAGGCATCTTTCTGGTCTGCGCAAGAATCACAGTACTTGCTGGTTCTTTGCATACGGAAACTCTAACCCAAGAGTGATGCTCTGCGACATGATCAGAGCAATGTTGCAGCGAGGAAATGATCGACTCGCAATGTATAACTGGGCTCCCACGCCACTTATCCATAGGACTGACAGCGGATAGAGCACCCAGGGGCTGTAGTTGACCGTCTGTACTCGGCGGGTAGGGTGAGCACCGACGTCCAGGTCTAGCCGCCAGCACGGACAACGCACCTTCCAGCAACGCTTGATATAAAACACCTCGCACAGACAGCATATCATCCCATTCAGAAAGAAATCGACCCAGACGAAAGAACTGCCCGCCTAGCACGCGACGACCGCCGAGTCAGTATCCACAGTGGCAAGACCGATGCACTCCCCGCCGACTGACCCAGGGCTCGTGCGACACGGCAACAGTCCAGAGCTTGTAGTCCTGCAAGATCGTCTGCAAGCTACACGCCCGCCTCACATCAGCGCGCGCAGATTCATTGGGCCACGCCGCGGCGAGAGCACGCACGTCGAGAGCAGGACGAGCGCCAGCACGTACACGCGTTTGCGCGCCACCTCGTCGCCAAAGTCCTCCCAGTACTTGAGCCCCAGCGCGAAGACGAAGCCGAGGCAGAACGAGTGCGCGATGCCGTCTAGGAGGAGCGCGCCGGGCAGGGGGAATTGGTAGTCGTGCGGCGCGTTGGAGAGGGTCGATATCGGCGCGCTGGGAACTCGCTGCGAGAAGGGAGGTAGGGGGCTTGGGCGATTGTACAGCTTGGGCTCAGACATCTGCTGTTTATCATCAAAGCTGGGACAAGAAGAGCGAAGCGTCGGAACGCGTCGAACCTGAGCGAGATTGCTGACGTCATTGGCTTGGAGGAATCACGTGTGCCTCAGATTTCATGAGAGCTGATTAAATTTGTGGCTCAAGGGTTGAGTGAGTGCTCTCCGAACGTTGGGCACCTTGCTCGAGATCCGAAGGAGATACAAGATTACAACCGATTACATAGGTTATTACAAAGCGGATACAAAACACCCAATCAAGCAGTCGACGCGAAGGAAACCCCGTCGAGATCCACTGCGGGATGAACCATATAATACATTTTGACATTCTCGTCTGATGGCTGGCTTTCTTCATCCATCGAGGGCAACGACTCTTGAACATCGCCCTTGACCTCCAGAAGATAGTTGTCCTATGCAATGTCGGCACAGGGTTATCGAGCAGTCTGCTACTCACTTTGACCAGCTTCCTCAGCATCTTCGTAATCAGCTCCTTCTCATAATCGGCGTCGCTTTCGTCTTGCATGTCTGGTTCCTTGAACTCCAGGTACCAGTCGATAAGGTCGTCCCGGTCGACACCACTCGTGACCCCCTGCTGCTCTTGTTCGGAGATGTGCATGACGATGAGGTCTTTCAAATTAATAAACTGGTCGTGTGTGATCACCATTCGTCGCTTCGCAGGCGCTGGAGGAGCAGGAACGGCCGAGTCGCCCAGGCTGCCAGCAGCAGTATCTGACTCAGACGTCGCGTGGGCTTGCGAATAGGCCGGCACGGGCAACGAGCTGCCTTCCAGATCATCGTCGTCAACAGCAGCAGCAGCAGACATCTCGATGTCGTTGTCGTCAGCGCCGTCTGGTGCACCAGCCGTCCGTCCCCGTTCGCCTTCAAGCTCTTCCTCATCAAAGTCGATGTCGTCCTGCTCGACGTGGATGATTGACTGTCGCAAAAGACTGTACGCTTCGCGAACATACGCTGGGATGATCTGAGAGCAGGTCAATCCTGGCTGTCCAGCTCTGATAGATAAGTCAAGCATCAGCGCACCTCATCCTTGCAGTTGGCTCGTGCAATGGCCTCACTCAAACGGATCATACTCTCCAACTGCCGTACAGTGATCCGGTACGAGTTTTTCCCCATCCCGGTGGCATCGTCTTGCCTCAGAATCCGGTACTTTTCAACTAAGACATCCGCAGCTTCTGCAGTCAGCTGAATCGAGCCGTCAGCAAGCATCCACCATCCCCGTACAAGAACTCACCTTGGGATTGAACGTCCGCGCAAAGCGAATATATCTCTGGAGCGCCTCAGTGCTGAACTCGGGGTTGATGGCCTCGTTCCGGAAGCGGTGCACATTGACGATATGTTTCGCAATATTGATGTCCGTCTTCTCGTCGCATTCGTCCAGCACGACAAAGAATAGATCGAATCGACTCATGATCGGTGGTGTCATCTGTACATTACTGCGCAGCGACTTTTTGCGATCGTATCGTCCGCCGATTGGATTGGCCGCAGCGAGAATCGACGTCCGTGCGTTCAGCGTCGCGTGGATTCCGGCTTTAGCGATGGAGATCGTCTGTTGCTCCATCGCTTCGTGAATAGCGACCTGGTCGGCAATGTCCATTTTGTCGAACTCATCGATCGCGCAGATGCCGTTGTCCGCCAGCATGAGCGCGCCAGCCTCGATCGTAAAGTCGCCCGTTTCCTCGTCCTTGACGACTGCGGCAGTGAGACCAGCCGCAGAAGACGCCTTTCCTGAGGTGTACACCGCACGAGGAAGAAAAGAACAGATGTATCTGGAATGGACGTCAGCGTACATGCAGCAAGCAACATGGAAATCACGCACTTGAGAAACTGCGACTTTGACGTCGAAGGATCGCCCACAATGCAAATGTTGATATCTCCACGCAAGTGCATCCCCTCCGGCGTTTGCTTATGCACGCCGCCCATGAGCTGTAGGAGCAGTCCCTTCTTGACAATCTCGTGCCCGTAGACTGTCGGCGCAATGCTGTTCACCAGACGCGTGTACATGTGATCGCCGTTGATCATGTTCTTCAGCTCGTCAAACTCGGGCTCCGTCAGACTGTCCAAGAAGGCCTGGGCACTGTCCTCCGACGAGTCGTCCTCCCCGCGGATGTTTGTCCCGTCACGGCTGTCGGCGTCTTTCACCATGCAGGCCAGAAACGCCGTCTTGTACTGCAGGTCCCGCACTCCGAGACTCTTGAGACCGGTTACACCACCGCTAATGCCCCCAGTCGCTGCACCCCCACCTGCACCTCGATTAGCCTCGCGTTGAAGCTGCGCGGCATTGCCCCCGGGCAAGCCAAGCTGACTGACGTCAGGCACGACGATGAATGTGCCCGTGAAAACGCATTTATCACCAGCTTTGGCACGCTCGACCATTTCGGAGCGCAGGATCACGTCGAGAGAGCGCGGCATAGAGCCAGTGGGGATTTCAGACGGATTCTCCTGGATTCGTACTTTTTGCCAATCTGTGAATCGCGACGTATCGATCTGCAGCTTCCAAGCTGTGCGATTACCGCATGTCGGATTGGGGCAGAGCGAAGGCTTGAAACTGTGTTAACATGGGAAGAGAATACATCTTGGCGGCTCTCACCTCGGTGTATTTGAATTGTTGCTCGATTTCGTCGACGATGCCACTGCATATCTCGCACACGAAGCTTCCGAAGAGCAGTTCAGGCCGGACCTCACTTGTCCGAGTCACCGTGCCCCCGATGCTCATGAGCGTACCGATCTTCTCCGTTCGAAGCTCTCGGATACCCGACGTGAGAGGAAGGTTATAGAAGGCGACATTGAAATCTCGGGACTGAAGGTTCGCTGAATCGGTCGTTGCAGCACTGGGATTGATCTTCAGATATTCGGGTGCGTATTCAGTGACGAGATTAACGAGAGCACGGCGCAGATATGGGAGGAATCGGTAGTACTGTCTCTGCACAGCGTTGGACAGAATGTCGTCTGCCATGAGCAGGTGGCCGAAATCGACGTAGAGCGTTGTGAGGTTGTATTCGCGCATGGTGTAGATCTGCTGAACATAAATCAGCTCCGCATCTGCTTCTCCAGGCGCGTCGCCCTCTGAGCCGGGCGTTGCCGCTAGTGCGACGCGTTCCGTGAACCTGACGCGTGAATGAGTGGGAGCAAAGATCGCGGCGAGGAGCGCGCACGTTTTGAGGAACTTTTCGAAAGCCTCTGCCACGGACTCTCCGACAGCATCCTTGACAGGAGGCACGTCGATTCCCTGGGTGCGGGCCTTTCTTCGTCGCCTAGGGTCCCCGGTTTCATCACCCAAGTCGCCATCCCCTGCGGCCTGAGGCTCGTCATCATCCAGAGAAAGAGCATTGGCAGTAGGGCGTTGAGTTGATCGGCTCGCGGTGGGGCTCGAAGGAGCGAGAAGGGGATTGCTCGAAGGAATGCCGGCAGGAGAGCTGGTAGCCATGGTGGGCCGCGAGAAAACGCGTTGTCACTCTGTGACGTTACGCGATTTGATCGACACCTGCCAGTCATCCATCCCTACTCGAAATAACCGGTCACGGCACTACTTCCGAGTCGATGACCACCCCTACTATGGACGACCTAGAGCCCCTGGATCCTTCTTATGTCGAAGACGTTCTATCTCGATTGCCATTCGTGAGCATCTCTGGAGTCATCAACGTGCGCGATCTCGGTGGGCTTGCTTCCACCACGTCGCCTGGCTTCGCGACGAAACCCCGACTGCTATACCGGTCTGCAGAGCTCGCTAAGATTACGGAAGAAGGCGGGTGCTGAACCCTCCTATCCCGGACGGGATTATAATCTCCACACAGGCAAAGCACAGATGAAGGACTTGGGTATCACCGCCGTTTTTGACCTGCGCTCGGACACGGAGATCGAGAAGTACAACACACCGCTGCCAAGTGCGCCTGGATTCACGGCTCTCCGAAGATCCCCTCTGATTTCTTCCAGCTATCGAAGGCGTTGAAGTCCACCATGTGCCGGTGTTCCAGAAGGAGGATTATAGCCCCGAGATGATGGCCAGGTGCGTCTGCACTCTCCTCCAGCCCTGGTTTACTCAAGCGACTTATACTACAACCCAGACGATACCAGCTCTACGCCAGCGGGAAAACCGAGGCGAGTCCCGTCTGGGAGAGGCGCAGCAGCAGCTCATTCTGATCCCTTCCCGCATCTAGGCCTTCATGGAACTGTGAGTGCCAGCTGACGACTCTGATCCGGATCGCCGCCAATTATGAACGGCCCAGGTACTCGCAGATTCTGGACAGTGGCGGTCCGGCGTTTGGTTCCATTTTGCGCCACGTGCGCGACCGTCCAAGCGACGGATGTCTCTTCCATTGCACAGCCGGAAAAGATCGGACTGGGGTTATTGCTGCCATCCTACTGAAGGTAAGTCCGGTATAACCGATCAGGCATTTTTCGGTCTTCAACGTGGACGGATAGCTCGCCGGGGTGGACAATCAAGCTATCGCCCATGACTATGCTCTCACCCGCATAGGTCGTGAGCCGGCTCGGGAGATGATCATGGAGAGATTGTCAAAGGAACCGCTCTTCGCTTCGAATAGCGAAGCAGCCATGAATATGTTCACTTGCCGGTAGGTGCCTTGCACTGGGTCATACATTCTTCTCATCTCGTTTCTCAGATCAGTGACTATGTCAGCTTTCCTCGACTTACTCGACGCCAAGTACTCTGGTGCCGAAGGATACTGCAAGAACATCGTTGGACTCTCTGACGAGGATATCTCTGTCATCCGACAGAATCTGCTAGTGCCCTCAAGTACACCCTGATATTACATACATCTCACTACACAGCATCTAATCATACGCACCCTGCATAGACACGTCTGCACCCGTCGCCGATCGCAAATCTCGGTTCTGAAGGGCCGCGATTTCGGCTTTGAGTTTCTCCTGCGCTTTTCGGTTAGAGATGCGCAATTGCACCAGTCGCTCGTACTTACTGCTCTGGCATCCAGATCAGCCTTGTCGAAGATTGAAAACGGGGGAGGTGGAGGGTCTTGATTTTTCAGGTCTGCTTGAGATCAGCACGTAAACATATCTCGAGTTAGTTCGGCTTACTGTAGGCAGCGAATGTGAAAACTTCAGCCATGAAGTCATGGTTGCGCCGGTATCTGGTCGAGGATAACGTTCGCGTGGAGATCGTGTCATTTTCGTCTGCAAACGATGTTCCTTCACAGAGAAACAAAAGAGCGGACACACGCACCTCCCGAATCTTCTTCTTCAACTGGAGGTCGTCGCTGAGCATCGTCAATAAAATAACAAGCGAATACAACACAATCAACACACAGCATTACTCTGCCCTCTAGCCCTCTGCTCCTGCTCTCGTCGTCGCTCCATCATTGCCATGTTGTTGTTTTGTTGTGCGAGCATGGCCTGCGGCGAGTTGAAGTTCCCGCCCATCCCTGGTCCGGGCCCCGGACCAACAATCGCGCCCGCATTAGGATGCCCCGGTGGAAAGACCTTAGTGCCCACTTTTTCGCCGAGAATGTACACGGCAGGCTCATTCACGGGACGCAGCGGGTACGCGCGTGCCGGCTGGTTCATGTACATAGGCGCAATAGCTGCGGCGCGTCGAGTTGGCAAACAGCGGATCCGCGCGTGGGTGTGGGAGAGGACGTACGTGCGTTCGGGCCCCTCGTGTAATGCACCAGCACCAGGCCCGGGTGCCCGCCCTTCAGCATCCGGTACCTGCGCCGGAGCCTCCACGCGCCCTGCATGGAGTCCATGCCAGGTATGTATCCGAATTTTGTTTCGCTGATCTCCAGTTCCTGATTCGCTGCTCAGACGAGCAGCAGGGACGCGTTAGGTGCAGGACTCACGCGTCCGGACCCCGCGGGCATGGTGTACTTGGTCTCGGCATCTTGGTAGCGCAGCCCGTCGTTCGGGAAAGGCGGGCCATTCGGGGGTATGAAAACGAGCAGAAGTTGGCCCTCCTGCGGTTTGTCGATGTATCCCCACACGTAAGGGACGTTCAAGGAAGTTTGGAACCCGCGAGTGAGATAGTTGACGGCTGTGTGGCGAGAGAGCGACGCTCATCAGCACGAGTGGTGTCATCTAGGAGCGCATAACAACCTGACTCCAAAGTAAGGTCGCGTGCGATCCCCAAGTTTTCTGGGAACCTGAGGCAGGGCGCGTCTGGGGCTGCTGGAAGAGACATACAGTGCGAATGTATTTGCTGGTGCTTACCATCAGACCCATCAACTCATCAGGGACACGGTTGTTCATCAGGACTCAGCTGTCAATCAGATCTCGGTGTCGAGACCTGAAAGTTGAGCCAAGCACCTCATGACCTCCGCACTGTAGGCGAATCACCTGGACCTCTTTGATGTGCCTCACGCTCATTTCCTGGCATCTGCGGAATATCCTCGGTCACCGCGCTGCCTCCGCTCTTTTCCACGCACCTCCGGCTTGGGGCGGTAGAATCAATTCATACAACGACCGGTCGCTCTGGGCCGGCGTCCGTCTGGGATCCGCTTCCCGAAAGGGGTGGTCAGAAGGTTTATTTTCCAGTCTGTGGCAGATTGTCATGTGTCCGCCACGACTGCCGTAATCGAGGGAAAGCCCGAAATGTCTCCGCGCGGTCATACAAATACACGAATGTTTGCGTGCGACGAATTCGACTGACGGTCATGTCTTCAATCCACCGCGAGCCCGCCCCGATCGACGAGAAGGTTGAAGAGCCGCACGGCGGGGCTCACCTCGAGGACGCGGAGATCCTGGATGCCGCAAACACCGACCTGGCTGTGGCGCTGGCCACGGGCCCGCAGCTGAATCCGCTCGGCTTGCGCTCGATCCAGCTCTATTTCATCCTCCTCGTCGCGTTCATGGGCAGTCTCGCCAATGGATTCGATGGCTCAGGTGACTTTTTTTGTCGCGTGCATTCCAGAAGGGACCGGTGCTGATTCGCGAGTGCAGTCATGTCAGCTGTCAATGGGATGCAGTGAGTTCTCAAATTCTTCCGCCTCTCTATGTAAGATAGCTGAAACGTGTACAGACAGTACCTGGATTATTTCAAGATCACTGTGAGCGGAGGAGGTCGTTAGAAGTGTGCGACGATTCTGATGCGGCAACCAGGGCAAGGATGCCGGCGGAGGTGTTGGGTCGACCACCGCACTTATCTTGTGAGTCGCTTCGGTGTGAGTGCGGCCAATGTCTCATATAGCCTCCGCAGCGGAATCGTATGCTGCTTTTTTTCCAGCTGACCTCCAAGTCCTGATCTTTACCCATCGCAGTACAGCATCGGAAGTATTGTTGCAGTCCCCGTTGCCGGCCCTGTCACCGACTACTTCGGACGCCGGGGAGGAATGGTCAGTGCCTCACTCACACCTGCCTATCGGCTAACATCATGCTATCCCCGCTTCCAGTTCATTGGCGGCGCTATCATCATCGTCGGCTCCTTGACTGCAACCACCGCGAAGGATGTCAGCGCTCTGCTTGGCGGGAGATTTGTCCTGGGTTGGTGAGCTCCCGAATTTGACGACCTTTTGCTCAATATCGCATAGGTCTGGGTGTTGGTATCGTTCAGACCGCGTCTCCATCATATGTCGTTGAAATGGCACCACCCCAGGTGTGTTTGAGCCTATTTTCTCCTTCCTGTGGGAATTCACGTCCGCTCTCTAGTGGCGTGGGCGATTGACTGGCCTGTATGTGCTTCATTATTCCATATTCTCACTTGATTGCTAACAAGCCCTTCTAGTTTCAACAGTGGGTCACACGTGACTCTATGTTGGACTTTGATCCTGATGCTCTTCAGCCTTCTACTACGCCGGTTCGATTCTCTGCAGCGGCATCACGATTGCCACGGGACGTCTCCAAAGCACCCGATCTTGGAGAGCCCCGCTCGCCATCCAGATCGTCGCAGCTGGCATCCTCGCTGTTTTCGCTCTCTTCCTCCCCGAAGTGAGTCGACTGAATGCTTTCCTTGGGGCCATCCTGAAATCTCGGTGCAGTCGCCCCGATGGCTTCTCGCTGTCGGCCGAAAGGACGATGCGCTGGCTGTGCTTGCCCGTTACCACGGCAACGACGACCCCAACTCGCCCCTGGTCCAGCTGGAGATGCGGGAATTCGAGAAGTCCATCAAGCAGGATGCCTCGGACAAGCGCTGGTGGGACTACAGGCGAGTTTCTGACCGGCTCGTTTGGTTGACAGCCAGCGCTGATCCCCACCACCAGAGAGTTGTTCAACACCCCGAATGCCCGCTACCGCACCTTCATGATGACGCTCATGGCATTCTTCGGACAGTGGTCCGGAAACGGTCTCGGATATTTCCTCACGATCCTCTTTGCTGTGCGTGTTTTCTGTTGATGGTCACGACCGATGACTGATGACGTGCAGAACGCTGGTGTGAAGTGAGCTCGAGCGTCCTGCGGTTTCCTGTTGTCTGAAGAATTGAAGGACGCAAAATGAGCGTTTGACTCTGAATTTCGTCAACACCCTGGTTTCCGCTGCTGGAGCGGTCATCGCCACAACTTTGGTTGACAAAGGTGCGTAGTTTCTCACATCAATATCCTGACAGCCACTGACTGAACTATCAGTCGGTCGTCGAAGTGAGCGCATTGATTATCATTTGTGTGTGCTACAGTGATGCTGACCGAATATCAGAGATGTGGTTCTGGGGCACTCTCGTCAGCGCCTGCACATTGATGGTCGTCACGGGTTGCACAGCCAAGTGGGGCAGCGCGGGAAGTAATCCCGCCGGTGCCAATGCCGCTATTGCCTTCATCTGTAAGCTGAGTTGATGTGTCGACTGTCGAGCTTGCTAACACATTTCAAGTCTTGTTCGGCTTTTTCTACAGGTCTGTCCCATCTCGGTTTGCAATGATGGTTCTCAGACTGAAATTCCCGCAGTCTCGCGTATACGCCACTGCAAGCACTATATCCCGCCGAAGTGCTCCAGACAAATACTCGCGCCAAGGGAATGGCCCTGTGAGAGGATCGCTACCCGATGACAGTGCACAACTCATCTCGTTTCCATCAGATATGCTCTGTTTGTCAGCTGCGCGTCTTTCGTCAACACCTACGCTGGACCCATCGCCTTGAATAACATCGGATGGAAGTGAGTGACCGCCGTGTCCAATCCTCGAGCCATTCATTGATGCGATCTAGATACTACATCGTCTACATTGCATGGGATCTCTTCGAGTGTGTCGTCATCTACTTCTGTGTCGTCGAGACCAAGGGCCGGACGCTGGAAGAGCTCGACGAGATCTTTGAGGTCCGTTTTCTCTGTTCCAACTCTTTCGCTCTGGGATTGATCAGACAAATTACCAGGACCCGCACCCCGTACGAGCCTCTCTGCGCCACCGCAAGGTCGCTGTTGTCAAGGACGAGAAGGGCCAGACGGTTGCAGTTGAAGATGCTTGAATCTGCTTTCACGTTCATGATTTTATAACGAGATATACTTGACTTGATAATCTACGAAATGCGATAAGATAAGACACGATGTCGGATGTGAAAGGACTACATGAATTAGCCACGAGACAAGGTCGAACTGGGACCGCCGCGCATGCCATACACTCACTATCACGCTTATGCCGCCGCTAACTCTTAAACACTGAAAATCGATAGATTATGGCTCCTTGCGGCTGGGGCTTTTGCCACAGTATCCAATTTACATTTTTTTTCGTTTGTGCATTCTTATCATCATGAAGACTGGAAGTCAGGAATTGGATCGACTTTGTGAGCGGCCACGTCGCCGATCGTCCGAAAGCCGTTCTCGTCTATGATATTTCGTAAGATGTTTGGAGCCTGTTGGTCCTGCGGTGCAACTGCAGCACCCGCTGGAATTCCGCTGGACTGCCGCAGTGGGACACAATCATGCATTGGTGCGACTGCTGGAGCCCCGCTGGAGTTCCGCACACCGCTACGTGTGTTCCGTTGGGCCACCGCAGGACAACTGCCCACTCCCGCTGGAGTTCCGCTGGGTTCGGTGCCGCTTGAACTGAGTTCCCGTGGGACTCGAACCTCTGAACAACACTGGGTCTGATGCAACATGTGGGTATGTGTCTCTGCTGCTGTCTAGATCTACGGACTGCCGGTGATGGAACTCACGAAAGCTTTACTTCAAAATTGATGCAGTCCCACAGCCCGTATGCCCGGGTGGGACGGGCCGCAGAACATAACCGGCTCTCGTGACTTGCCCCACGTCCCCGCGGTTGTCAATGCCCACATGTTTGTCCAGAACCGGCGGCCCCTCTTGCATCCGTCCCACTGCATAAAGCTCTCACCACACCAGCCGTTGCGCGAAACAGAAGTACGCACCACCGATGCCACCACTGTCAGGCAAAGTCGTCGCCGAGCACCACACGCGCGAGAGCTGCTGGATCATCGTCCATGGTGCGTCCTCCGGCCGCGCGCCGAGTCTCTATGTCCGTCCAGCGCCGACGGAAATCTCTCAGGTCAAGTGTATGACGTGACGGAGTTTCTCGATGGTGAGTCCGTTTCTGGTGATTGCATGGACGGGCTCGCGCTGACCGTTGGCATGTAGAGCATCCCGGTATGATGTCATCTCTGCCTCGTTCGCCGTCCTCCACGCCTCAAACCACGCGTAGGAGGGAGCAAGATTATACTGAAATACGCGGGCAAGGACGCGACGTGAGCTCGATCCACCTCCTGGTTCCACGGTCCTCCCTCACACACCGTAAAGTAAAGAATACGAGCCGATCCACCCGCCCGATGCCATCACCACGAACCTGCCTCCCGAGAAACAGTGAGTGTGCTCACCTGCCTGTCATGGATGCCCCCTTCTCAGATTCTCGCTATCGAGTCTCGGGCCGGTGGATGGGAGCACCGTGGAAATCGTGGAAGTGGAAGTCACGCAGGAGGAGAAGGACCGGCTGCAGAGGATCGAGCTGCGTCCACCGCTTAGCGAGATACTGAATCTGCACGACTTTGAAGTGCGTTTTCATTTCCCTGCGTCCGAGCCCTTCGCCACTGTGACTGAACGCAGTCCAGAACATCGCGAGGCAGGTGCTGCCCGAGAAGGCATGGGCGTATTACTCTTCTGCGGCCGACGACGAGATCACACACCGGGAGAACCACGCTGCGTATCACAGGATATGGTTCAGGCCGCGGATCATGCGGAACGTGACGAACGTCGACTGGTCGACTACGATCCTGGGGCACAAGAGCAGCATGCCAGTGTATATCGTGAGTCTTCCCATTGCCCCCGAGGGAGCGGCATCGAACTTCCTACAGTCAGCCACGGCACTGGGCAAACTCGGCCATCCAGACGGCGAGCTGAATCTGACCAAGGCGGCGGCCAAGCACGGTGTCATCCAAATGGTCCGTCCCGTCATCAGCACGGAATGTGCACCGGATCATGGACACGATAGATTCCGACCCTGGCTTCGTGCTCGTTCGATGAACTCGTCGATGGCGCCCAACCTGGGCAGGTCCAGTTCTTCCAACTCTACGTGAACAAGGACCGCGAGATCACGCGGAAACTGGTGCAGCACGCCGAAGCCAGAGGAATCAAGGGTCTTTTCATTACCGTCGACGCACCGCAGGCACGCTTCCGTCTTCTCTACATATCCGTGCAGCCGATGCTGATGTAGAACAAACAACCAGCTGGGCCGCCGGGAGAAGGTGTGTCTGTCTATCTGCCTTGAATGACAGAGAAGCCTCACGAGAGTCGCCCAGGACATGCGCATGAAATTCGAAGCAGAAGATCCGTCTGTTGTATCGGAAACAAGCGCGGGCGGAGTGGACCGCTCTCAAGGTGCCGCTCGGGCAATCAGCGTGCGTCTGATCGGTTTTTTCGATAGCCTCCGTGGGAGCTCATCTTGCTCAGAGTTTCATCGACACGGCTCTCCAATGGGACGATCTCAAATGGTTCAAGAGCATCACCAAAAGTGCGTGCTATCTGGTCATGTGTTCTCAGACACTGATCCCAGCGCAGTGCCTCTCATTCTGAAAGGCGTGCAATGCTGGGAAGACGCGCTGATCGCGTACGACCACGGTGTCGCCGGCGTCGTTCTGTCCAACCACGGAGGCCGGCAGCTCGAGTTCGCGCGCTCCGGCATCGAGGTCCTCGCCGAAGTCGTCACGAACCTCAAAGAGAAGCGGGGGCTCGAGTTCCCGAACGAGAAGTTCCAGCTGTTCGTTGACGGCGGCGTGAGGCGCGCGACGGATGTTCTGAAGGCTATCGCGCTGGGTGCAACTGCCGGTCAGTCCCGAGCGTCTTTCTGTGTCCAAATGCCTGACATGTGATGATCTCCAGTTGGTGTCGGACGGCCGTTCTTGTATTCATACTCGGCGTACGGCGTGGATGGAGTCGACAAGGCGTTGCAGATCCTCCACGTAAGTTAACTCTCCTTTCTGTGCTCTGCGTCTACTGAAACTCACTATTTCCCAGGATGAGTTCGAGATGAATATGCGTCTGCTGGGAGCCCAGTCGATCAAGGACATCGTCCCAGCGATGGTCGACGCCAGCAATCTCACTTCGCACATCGTCGCTGTTCCCGGTGATAGTTTGTATAATAATAACTGTGAGTGTTTGTCACAAAGAGCGAAGATTTTGCCGCTGATACTTGCTTTTCGTTCCAGACGAGGGAATGGTTTACGCGAAACTGAAGACGAAGTTGTAGGTGCTTGATTACAGTGCCATCTTCTAGCATAGATTCTATGGAATTGTGAACGCCTCTGGTTCGCTCAGATGCAGGCAGTGCGAGAGCAGATAGTTTCCACGTGATTGATAGAATAACTGAGCTCATACGGTGATGGTTTTCACGTTCACGGGGGCTAGTGCGAATGATCCACTTGAACAACTCGCGAAACCTCATCCCATTGTCCGGATTCCAACGGTTTCGTGTAATGGTTGGTAAGCACTGCTGCCGGCGCTGTACATCGCAACCAAAGATCAAGCCCAAAGCATGTCCTGCTGCGTTGCAGATTCCTGCGCTCTTGGATGCATATACAATCAGTACGCATCCGACCGTATCCTTGATTTCCCGTAGATTTGTGCATACATTCACAAGTCCTCTTGCCTTCTCTAGCTGTTCTACAATCCACTGAGAAACAACGCAGGTCCTATAGATCCCCCAATGCCCCCTGCCGAAACTGGGTCCAATACCTCGCGTTCTGCTTCGAAGGCGGGGCCGCGCCCCACAATCGCGCCATGTCTCGCACGCGGCCCGTCTGCAGAGGCAGCGTCTCATCAGTACTCTCCTCGTTTGAGTCGAAATCTAGTACGGGCAGAGCCATGGGCGCAGAATACCGACGCCCAGCAGGGAAGTCCATCTGTGTCTACACGCGTAACGTGAACCGAGACTTCGGCGAGGACGGCGACCCTACCTTTAGCATCAACGGCAGTCTCCGCTCCACGTCGAACGCTGCGCTCCTTCGACGGAACCTCGACGATCCGTCATCGAGGAATGCAGCTGGTGCGGGCATGATCAGGGACTGGGCGTCTAGCACCAGGCCTTCAGTGCAGTAGGTGCCGCCCCGCGACTGCAGATTCTCCGACTCGAATGGATCCCATTCTTGCGTGGCGTGTCCGACGCTTAGATTCTCGGAGACTGGGATTTCGACGAGGCGCGCGACTTCTTCGATGGAGTTTGAGGGTTGCATCTCAGTCACTATTTGAGGAGACAAGGGTCGGAGAAGGCGAGAACGCTGACCAGCGCGCTTGAGTGCGAGGACGAGAATGGCGAGAAGTAGAAGTGAGATAGATGCCGCCATGAGCACGTTTGTGATCGAGGGAGCTACATTGGCGATGAGAGTTAACGCCACATCGCTTCCGAAGACAAGTGCAAAACTAACCGTTAAGCTGCGGTCGGGGAACCACGTCGCTGGAACTTGGCGCCGAGAAAAGACGGAGCGTGTTGGCACAGACTGGTGCAGGTTGCTTTTCGCTGAGGGGACACATTTGCGAGTGGTCTGCCCCATGTATGATAGTATCCTCTTGCGACTCCGTTGTACTGACACGTTGAGCAGCGGGCAAGAAAGCTGTTAGCAGTAGGAATGGACGCGTCATAGCCCTTGGAATCGAAGGAAATAGCTGGGCGAGAACGCTGGTGACCCTATTGATCCTGCGCGCCACCGAAAGTTCGAGACGAGCGGGCGCGCGGCTAGAGGCGTTCTTGACTGCCAGGTACCAGACAGGTGGGTTGAGGTCGACGACAAGACTGAGCGAGATACGAGCAGACGTCATGGCCTCAGAGTATAGAGCAAAGAGACCACTCAAGCTCGGATAGTTTGCACGTGACGGTCAGTGATACATTTCATTGTGCAGATACATAGATGCGATGCAATAAAACTATCAAAAACCTGACAGAGCAGAGCAAGTCAGTGACTGAAAGAACGGCACAAGGATAGAAGAAAAGAAGAGTATCAGACATGTATAATAATGATTCCGGATAGACTGTATCACCAGAGACCGAAGGCTCAGTTGAGGGAGTCTATTTGTCATCTGCAGAAGCCGCGATGTGCGACGGCAAAGAGGGGAGCGTAAACACACACCTCGTCCAGAAACCAGCTCTTCAGCGGTTCTTGAAGTAGTCGAGCAGGACGTGCAGGCCCTCGCTCTCGACACCGTACTCCTTGACGACGACACAGCTGCAGCCGACGACCTTGCGCGGGTTGCCCTCGCGGTCGATCTTGCAGAGCCCAGCCCAGGTGCCGAGGATTTTCGGGTCACCAACCTTGATGAGGTTGATCTTGTGCTCGGCGCAGAGCGCCTCGATGAGCTTGATGTACTCGGCCTCGGTGCAGGTCTCGACGAGCACGCACAAGTGCGCCTGACGCTTGTCCAGGGCCTTGGCAGCCTCACGGAGACCACGGGCCAGACCGTCGTGCACGAGGGCATTCTTCAGGACTTGCTGTGTGGATCGATCAGGGATCGTGTTCAGAAGGCTGAAAACGGGGAGACACGCACCTGAAGAGCCTCTTCGACGGTAAGCTTTCCCTTGGGTGCGTCCTGAGCGACCTCGACCTCCTCGACCGGGGCGTCAACCTGAATTTCATCTCCAGCGTCAGACATCCTGCAATACGGATCGTCAGAATCCGTTTTTTCAAGGGAATCCGCACAGAGAAGCGGATAGAGGGTACCCGACTTACTTTTCGTTTTTAGATTGAGAAAATGAGTGAGAAAAGGTGGCGAGTCTTCGTCCGCTTTCGTCGATGTGTAAGGAAAAATTGGGATACGGTCACGCCTACGTACTATCTAGCTGTCGAGCTCCGCTTCAAATTTTGGCCGGGACATCAACACAACTTCATTCTCCGATGGTTCGGCATGACGGCAAAAGGTGATTAGATTAGATTAAGTTACGGTAGTACTATAATCCCAGTGTCACAAGAACGGAACGTTCTTCATCTCGCCAGCCGCAAGGAGATCTTGCTCAAGGGCCTCATCCTCATCTTGCTCGTCATGCTCGAGATCGTCATCGTACTCAACCTCGTGGTCGTCTTCCAAATCAAACTGCAGGTCGTCGTCGTCCAATGAGCCAGGCATGCTGGTCATACTCGTCCTTCTCATCCTCCGTGCCTGTTTGCTATCGAAATCGATTTCGTCATCATCAGAGTCGGCAAATGTCGATGACGAAGTGCGCGACTCGGGGCTGGCGCTCCGGCGCGATCCATAAGAGCTCGAGAGCGGGGGTGAGTTGTCCCGAGAAACCTGGCGCAAAGTTCCTTGTCGAGCGTTGGCAGTCGACTGGCGACTCGGCACGAGGCTGAAGTTGCGGATCCGAGCCATGGTGCTCGAAGTTTCGGAGCGAGCACTGAGGGCCGGGGACGGTGGCGACAGATCCGGCAGCGCAAACTCCTGGACGGGGGCTTTCCAAAAGTTGAAGTCGGTGTACTCTTCTGTCCACTTCCGGTGGATAGGGGGGAGATCTGGTCCACGAGATCCGTCATGTGGATGTACGACGACTTGTAACCGGCGAGCTCCAACAGCTCCAGCTTCACCTCGCCCGACGAATCGATCGTGAAGATTCGTGAGCTGGGCACATTCACGCTGCGATACGATAGAGCGTCTGTGATCCGGTTCCCAAACCCAGCATAAAATGGGTTGCGTCCCTCGCCGAACAATCGCTGAATGTCTCGTAGGCAAGCCATCTTGAACACCTCTGGTTTGCGCATAATCACTTCCCGATGCAGCGACGCCATGAGTCGATCAGGGCTCATGATCACTGGTCCCTCCGGCAGCTGATAGTCATTCTGCTTGATGCCCTTCAGGTAATCTCGGGTCGCGTCTGCCTGTCCGATGGCCCTGGACGTGAGATACATGATCTTGTATCCGTTGCGGATGATGTCGGTGTAGAGTTTCGCGACACCCAAATGAGTCCAGTCTCTCCCGATCATTGCAAAGACATGACCCAGTCCGTCGGATCTGTGGAGTGTCAGAGTACATCATAAACGCGACTCATTCACGCACTTGGTGATGGTACCATCGATATCCGAGATGAGTACGGTATCCATAGAGTCCCAGACAAATATCCGTGCGGTACACGCTACAGCTCCAGTTGCAGAGAGCGAAAAAGTGATCGAATTCGGTCCAGGCTTCAACTTGAGTGTTTTCTGGAAACGAGTCTGAGTAACTGAACATTCGAAACTCTGCTTGTACAACATACCAGTTGGTCTGACGTCAATCGAAGCGTCTTGACGTACTTGCGCTTGCCTGCATTCTCAGGTGATGGCTGAAGAGGCAGTTGAGTCGGACGTTGGACCGGCGTTGACGGCTCTGGTGCCGAGTCGGCTGGAGGCACATCGGTGGCTGATCGTTTCGGAGGGGTCACCTTGAGGTCATTTGGATTCTAAGCTGATCAGACAAAGACGTTTCAGCTAGATGCCAGAACTCACTGGCTCCGATGCAGTCCAAGGCAGACGCGGACGATCATCTCTGTGCGCATCCTCTCGTTTGCTTCGACCCCACCACTGAACCCAGGACGACGACGTCGGCTTCGGCTTCGGCGTCGACTCGGGTGGCTCTGATTTCGCACGGTAATGTCGCTTCTGCTCCTCCTCCTCCTCGGCGATTGGAGTGGCGTCCTCTTCAACATCCGACAAGGGCGGGGAGGTTGGGCGAAGCATCATCCCGTTGGCAGTCTCGGCCAGCAGTGCGTCCCTCCACAAGACTAGAGCATCCATTAGCGGAGATCCATCTGCGCGAATAATGTATCTGAAGAACACTGAGAGCGTGACACAATCATGAGAGATGGGTACATACTGGTCCTCATTCCACCGGATGACGAGGGAGGGGTCTTTCACGGCCGTGTCGTCCTCTAACAAACGGTGCAAATCAATCTTGCCCTTAGCGAATTGTCGCGCGGCGTCGACTTCATTATGGCGATCGAAAGGTTGACGTTCTCGATTCTCAATAATGCTCAGCTCAAATGGAATCTTCTTTCCCTCGATCGCTACAGTCAAGTGCGTTGGATCAGCCGCAAGTGCAGACAGCCGTCCACCGGACCCGAAACCAGGATCCACAGACGGCGACGGCAGCACATCCTCGACATCCTCGTCTCGCAACTTCCTCCTCGAACGCGAAGGACTCCCGGCTGGAGGAACGCTGCGGCTCCGAGCGCCGGAGACGTCATCATCGGTTTCGTCTCCATCAGTAGCTGCGTTGAGTTTGCTCATTCGTGATCCGGTAGCCGACCGCTGGGGCACTTTACTGGGCCCGGGGATGTTATCACCGAAGCTGGCTTGCATCGGCGACGGCTGGGGAAATGCGCCCCATTCCCAGGAGTAGTCCATACCGTGGGGATGCGATTTGTCTTTCGATGGGGAAGCCGGGGGCGACGCTAGTGTGCATAGCAATCAGAAGTGACTCAATGGCGGTAGATGGACCACACACCATAATGCCCATTCTCATCAGCTGTTATGGTCCGCTCCCGGTCATGCTTCGGCTGAGAATGGTAGCCTTCACCGTCAATGGCAACATCTAGCTGGCGGTCAGGCGTGAAAGAAACGATGGAAGGTGGACACACCGTGTTTGTATTCGACATTACGGCTCAAAACTGCCTTGTCCTGTTCGTCGTAACCTGAAGCGGAGCCCGGAAAGGGCACGCCCGGTGCCACTGAAGGCATCACTATATCGGACGGTCGTTTGCGACTATCGGGTCGAGCATCGAGGTCGAGAAACTCTGGTTCGCCTATGGGGCTGTCTGTCCGCTCAGTTGACGGGATATCCTGCGCCGCAGCTTCCTCCGGATCTTGTTTGGACCCAAACCTATCCGTCGGAACGTCGGCAGCCTGAGTGTCTTCGGGGCGCGTTGGCTGGAGCAGAGGACTCGTAATGAGGTCCTCGGGGACATCGTCGTCGGTTTCGAACACGAAAAAGGCTTCGCCCGCCTCCCCAATCTTCATGTCGAATGGAATCGGCTGTCCGTTCACCATGACTTTCACCTAGATTGGGCGATTAGCAACGCTCTCGCGGCGCAGAGCCCCATCCGCGCACCTTCTTCTCTCCTGGGCGGAGCACCTGCCATTTTCCGAAGCGGACGTGGAATGGGGAACAGACTAGCTCGGTTCCTTTGTCCGCTGTGGGGCGCTCGACCACGATGACATCAATGGCTCCGGTGAGGGTTGCAGGATTGATCGGGGGCAGGTCTCTGTAGTATTGATAGGGAGCGCTAATGGCACTGACAGCGCCACGGATGTAGTTCATGGGGGAGTGGAAAAGATGTAGGGAGCCTCGAGGCAGAGACCACTAGTATGTAGTAGTATTCAATGGTGGAGGTCGAATTTCATGTGATTTGGGGATCGATTATGTCAGCGGTGATGTCAACGTTCGTCGAATCCCCAACCCCAACCCACGCGATCGCTGGCAACTGTCCGCATGAAAATTGGGGAACCTCGTCCAGGATCTGTCCGGAACATCGGACCAACAATGGACCAACAGCTGGGGAAGCCTAAAAGAAGTGTCACGCGTCCATCGTGGAAATCGATATCTCCGCCTGCTCTGTCAACTTGAGTGTTGCTTGGCGCTCAGAGCTCCAATCTTCTGAATCTCGCCCTGCACGAGTTCGATTCGGAGGACGGCCCGTTCAAGAGAGCTCTAATTGTGCCTGCTCAGTGCTCACATGATTTTTGAGTTCTAGGTTCCGAGATGCTCATCTTAGCTTCGGATCTTGTTACGGATCCGTGCAAGCACGTCTTTGTCTCACAAGACGGCTTTCATTTTCTGGTGTTCCGCAGTCGCACCATTTGTCTCAATCCCCATCCAAGTACCTAAGGATCCGAGCAGCTATCGTCTCTCAACAATTTGACTCTGGGAAAACGATCTGAAGGGCAAGAGGCACCTTGAGTAGACACACTGCATAATCCCGATGCACTGTGTAGCTTTCAGCGCGAATTAACGCAAAAATGAACCGGGCGGCGGCAGTGAGCATACGCAACCCTTCACCTGATCGATCCAAGCTCCGCTCGCGTTTGAGCGCATGTTCAGTTGCTAAAACCTACCAGCTCTCACCCGCAAATGACACTCGAACTGAATCCCGTGATCGTGAAGCATAAAACAGAAAGCGAGCCGAATAGGGCCCAGAGTCATCGGCCGAGTCATTTCGGCCGAAGTGTTTTATGAAGCCCCGACTTCCGTGCATCCCTCTCTACTCTTCCCACTACCTCCATGGCCCCCAGATCGTGCGCGAATTCCGTTCCCTACGTGTAGTTCACTCAACTAACTCCAGTGCAGCTTTCGCGTAGTCGTCCTTCCAGGCGATGGCATCGGACCTGAAGTCGTTGGACAAGCAACGCGCGTCCTTGAGGCAGTCTCTGCCGCGTCACCCGACTTCGACCTCAAACTAGAGGTCCATCAATTTGGTGGATGCGCCATCGATTCCACAGGCGATTCCCTCCCTCCGTCCACGCTCGAAGCATGCGAGCAAGCTGATGCCATCCTCATGGGTAGCTCCCAAACCGCTCCCCGTTCGAATGTGCGTTGATCTATCGATCACAGGTGCTATCGGCGGCCCCAAGTGGGGCGTGGACGCAAAAGTTCGGCCGGAAGTCGGTCTACTCAAATTGCGCAAGGCGCTTGGGCTCTACGCCAACATCCGGCCGGCCAACTTCGCTTCCGATACTCTCGTCGCCGCCTCCCCCCTCAAGCCGGAGATCGTCAAGGGCACCGAGATCATCGTCGTGCGGGAGCTTATCGGCGGTCTGTACTTCGGTGAGCGGCAGGAACTTGGAGCCTCCGCAGACCCGGCCCAAAAGTCCACTGCATGGGACACGATGGTTTACAGTGTCGCTGAAGTCGAGCGCATCACTCGTGTTGCGGCGAATTTGGCTCTGGGCTCCAACCCCCCTCTCCCAATCCACTCCATTGACAAGGCAAACGTGCTCGCAAGCTCTCGTCTCTGGCGTAAAGTCGTCACCGAGACCCTCGCCAAAGAGTATCCCCAGATCCCACTCGATCACCATCTGGTGGACTCGGCTGCGATGCTGATCGTCGCCAACCCGCGAAAATTGAACGGGGTCATCGTCACCGAGAATCTGTTCGGCGATATGTGAGTGTCTCGCACGGGGCTGGCCATGGCAAATACTCAGTCCTTCTGTAGCCTCTCGGACCAATCCAGCGTGATTCCAGGGTCACTAGGTCTTCTCCCCTCCGCCTCGCTTGCAGGGTCCCCCGTTCTGCCCTCGTCCTCGGACTTCAAGCCCACTCTCGGCCTGTACGAGCCCATCCACGGCTCGGCACCTGACATCGCCGGCCAGGGGATCGCCAATCCCGTTGGCACCATCCTGAGCGCCGCCCTGCTGCTGCGCTACTCGTTGGGACTGGAGAAAGCCGCCGCAGCTATCGAACTGGCTGTCAGGAAGGTGCTCGATACTGGATTGAGGACGAAGGACTTGGGAGGGGACGCAAAAACGGAGCACGTTGGCGACCAGGTTGTAGAAGTACTCAAAGGTCTGTTGTGAACAACCTTGTAAACGAAAAATCCATGTTGTACATCTAATGGTTGTATCCATTGTCTGATCGCTTTTCTGCCACTTTCCCGTCCCAATGAGAATGTGGAATCGGTGGAATAATCTAAGATCTCGGACAAGGATGGTCGTGAGCACTCTAAATTCCGGTCATCTGAAACATAAATCCAATTGAGGAGACCTTCAATGGATTTTACCGTAGGCCTTGGCTGATAGAGAGAAAAGTCAAGCGATAGAGATTCGATGACGCGGTCACGTGATGTTCTCAATCTTGGTTTGATGCACCCGGAGGCGGACGTGCGAGCTCGACAAAGAGATTACAGAAAGCTTTAAGTACCAATATATGCGCGATTCAGAGTTTTGCCGGAGTCATGCTGATCTTCTGCAACTTTGCAAACCAACTGCCCTTCGAAATAGCGGGTCCGAAAAAGAGACTTTGAGCCCAAGCAGCAAGACTGTCTACATTAGGATCGAGTCAGTGGAGGGTTTACGAGATTTGTGGTGTCGATTACTTTTTGTGGGACCGGCAGGGCCCAACCCGAACAAACGGAGCAGGCTGCGCGCGAACAGAGCTCCAGCCCCCTGTGGGATACCAGCGATCTCGTACATCACGACAGAGAGAATCATGGAGGAGATAATAGGATGCTGTTCCGCCAGGTCTTCTAGGAGAAATAAGGTCAATGTCGCGAAAAAGCCCACGGGGCAGCCAGAAATCACCCATCAAGACGAATACGTCGAGGACAACAGACTCGAACTGCACCCACTTTTCCCGCGTTTCATCTTCATCGACTCCATGCTGGACTAAAACCCCGACGATGACTTGTCCTACCTTGTCGAGAATGGCAGTGAGGGAAGCGACGCGCTCGGCGTGGCCTTGAGCTTTCTCGGGTGGAGGGAACAACTTCTGCAGCTCTTCAGACAGCAATCCGAAAGCTGCCAATATATCTCGTTCAAATGTCTGTCCTTTGTCACCAGTATAGCTGGGCATCAAAGCCGATGCGTGCTGGACAACTAGTTTGACGTGCTCTGTCAGGTCGTTGACCTGTGCGGCCACTGTTTCCGGATTGGGCAGCCCGAGGCACTCCAAAGTCGCGCTTATTTGGCTGAGAGCGTCTGGACGTGTCGCGACGTGAGCGGGGCAGCTGGGGACCTGGATGTTCGAGAGGAACTCGGGGACAACTTTTCCCAAGTCCCAGTCAAAAGCGTGGACGGCGGACGAGGCGACGAGGGTGAGCGCAGCAAGTCTGAGTGGGTAGCGTACCATTGTGCGAAGGGGTAGAAGGGAAGATGCAAGATGGGTTGAATGCGGTCCACGAAGTCATGTGAGGATAGGCGCCCAATCTGTGTACATAATCGCTCAAGCGCTCGAATGTCAGGCGATGAAGCACGAAGTTTGCTTGAGGTCGAAAACGGTACTTCGATTCCAAGCCCACCTGGCACACCATCTTTCTATGAGCTACTCTTTGACCTTACGATGGCGCAGAGACGCACTCCACGATCACATTGACGCCCTCCGCGCAAAGTACGGTTCGTACAAATCTTCTTCAGCACACATTTCTCTGGCATCTTTCCTGAAATTGAAGCCTGGAGAATTGGCCCGGCTTCAAGTCTGTCTCAACCGGCTGAAAGCTCACTGTGGTGCTTGCGAGTTCACCTTCGGAAGGATGGTCCCTAAAGCTCTGTTCGCCAAGTCGTTCGTCGCTTTTACGATTGCTCTAGTCGGAGAATTCAAAGATATATGGCTCGAGATCAGGAACTAGTGAGCATCACGAAAAGAAAGAGTTCGCAAGGAGCTGATCCAGAGTGCTCAGTTGCCGAGACTCTCTTCATCCGGACTGACGCCCCCACGTCACCATCGCAGCGCTAAATGGCGCTTAAAGAGCCGAGCAAGTGCAAAATTACGTGCGGTCCACACTGGAGGCGTGGACATGCGCCTACGGAGCGCCCAAAGGATTCATTGAGGGGATCCGCTTGTGGTCGCTTGACAAGAACAAAGTGCTGCTTCAAAGTTTCAAGCCATCACATCCGTGAGTATGTTCCATATGCCTGAGGGCACGTAGGAAGCTTGCGTGTCCGTGCCGGATATGTGATCGCGTGCGAAGGGCAGATGAGTAGGATAAGCAGAATCTCAAAGGTTGGTTATTGCTGGCAATGGATTGACACAGCGTCGATTGTGTGTGGGCCAGAAGAATTAATTGCTGTATACAGGAGACTAGGACAGAGTTTCTGAAAGACGGCATGAGTAGCAGCAGAAAGTTAAAGAAAAGCGCGTAAGTTTGGCTTCAAGTGTGAAAGTCAAGCATCATCAAAGCGAATTTGACAGCTATCTCGCAGCGATCAATACCTTCCGAGTCATGCATAGTTCATGAACTTGTCTGTAACCACTGGCACTTCAACACTGACATCACTCCTGCTTTTGTAGATGCGTACGAGGGACCCCAGGCCTCAAGCTCCGCTGTCGCTGTGATGCGCCTGATCGGCATTTAGATAGGAGGCAAACGAATAACGCATTGGTCAACGTTGGCTTGCCCGGGGCATCTCTGACCGCAACGACCGATGCTGGACTCCCATTCACAGCTGCCGCGGCGTTGGCCATCAAAACATATATAGAGTAAGCGCAGCACTCATGCAGATGATGCCAATTGCGGCGCACATGTCGCGATAACAGCTTACTATAACGAACGAGATAAGAGCTGGATCTCGATTCTCCGTCTCCTTCCTCCCCTCCTTACCTGCTACGATGGTGAAGCTCACGACCGCATTCCTTGCTCTCCTCCCGCTTGTCTACGCCCTGCCGAGCGATGACATCTCCAACCGCGGCGAAGAAGCCGTGTTCATGCACGTCCCGCTCGCCGATTCTGACGCCTACGCATCCGGCGAGGTGCACATGATGATGATGAACCTCGTCGAGGGATCCTTCGAGCAGATGAAGGCCGATCGCGCGAACGGGAATCTCGCGGCCGGGATGCACGCGCTCGGATTCGAGCCCTGTGTCGACGGATACGCCGGAAGCGAGGAAGGCAACACATTCGCGTGCAACAATCTCGACCTCTACTCCTTCACACCTCATGCCGAGCTCGGCAGTGCGACCGAGTTCGGAAACGATATCTGGGGATGGACGCACGAGGGGCGCGAGTTTGCGCTTGTGGGTCAGACGGATGGGACGGCGTTCGTCGAGGTTCTCCCAAGCGGCAAGATCACGTATCTCGGTCGGCTGGACACGCAGACTTTTAACAGCACATGGCGCGATATCAAGGTTGTTGGGGACCATGCTTACATCGGCAGTGAGGCGCTCGGGCACGGTGTGCAGGTGTTCGACTTGACCAAGGTGCGTTCGAATCCCGATCGATAGTATGGTGAACTTGACAGGAAAGCTTCCTCCAGCTCCTCGATGCTTCGTTGGTCGCTGCCCCCAAGGTGTTCAGCCTCGAGACTGATATGGCTGCCCACTATGATTCGCTGCCTCTCGGTGCGTCGCACAATATCGTGGCGCACGAGAGCAAGAATCTTGTCGTCGCTGTTGGCTCTATTCCGAGAGACGGGTGAGAGATGATAGATGTATCATCGCATCTCCTCAATGCTCATATCATCCCGATAGACCTTGTGCTGCCGGTCTCATCTTCATTGATGTTACCGAGCCCACGAAACCGACCGCTGCAGGATGCGCCGCAGCTGATGGTTACGTCCATGAGTGCGTCACCAGGCTTGTCTTCGAAATATGACCGAACTCCTGCAGCGCTCAGTGCCTGACCTACTACGGACCGCACACGGAATACGTCGGAACTGACGTCTGCTACGCGTTCAACGAGGATTCTTTCACGATCTACAACATCACATCCCCGTTCGCGCCCGAGATCATCTCTACGACCCCCTACTACGGCGTCAGCTACTCGCACCAGGGCTGGGTCGTGGACGAGAAGGACCAGTCGTATCTCCTGCTTGACGACGAGCTGGATGAGGTGTACCAGCGCGGATGGGCCAACAACTCGCACACGGTCACCTATATCTGGGACATCAAGGACCTGGCGAAGCCTGTTCTCACCGGCCACTACTCGTCCCCGGTCAAGTCCATCGACCACAATCTTTACGTCCACGTGCGTGTCCCTCTTTAGGGAAGAGTATGTACTCTGTGCTGATTGTCTGATGAACAGAACGGCTGGGCGTACGAGAGCAACTATGGAAGCGGTCTGCGCATTGTGGACGTGAGCAGTGTTGCCAAAGACCCGACCGGCGGTTCGTTCAAGGAGGTCGCGTTCTTCGATGGTGCGCAATGCTTCCGTCTTTTTGCAATGCAGCTCATCCGTTTCCAGTGCACCCCGAGGACGACGATGTCGGATGAGAGGCGACTTTCGATGGATCGTGGAGCGTGTATCCGTACTTTATGAGCGGTTACATCGTCGTCAACTCTATCGAGCGTGGACTGTTCGTCGTCAAGTACAGCGGTGCCTAGGGGGACATATCGTTGTAGTATCAAATTTTACATTGGTAATGACGAGCGTTGTGTTAAAGTCGAAGGAGCGGCCGGAAGGAGGGATACGTGGCTGGTCAAAGAACTAGCTCCCTGCACGCACCGGCCACGACTCCCCCATAGCCCCGGAACACCACCACCCGTCGCGCCTGGAGAGGAGAAATAGTTAGCTCATCGTTCCAGAAGTTACAAGAGCAGGAAAAGTCAGAAATTCGAAATATCGACAAGGAGATTAAGACAGGGATAACTGAATTATATATAGGCTCATCGTGCAAGAGGCCCAGAGGCGCGAAAGGTACACAGAGCAGGGACTTACCATGAGCTGGCAAGGGGACTGAGAAGGAAGGAAGATCTGACAGATTTTTCGAATTTTGTTTGCCCCTTTATTTGGTTCGGTAAGCCCGGTTGACGCGATCACGTGTCGTTGTCCACCCGACGTCGCGGCTGGACGATTTCTTGCTACTTCCCCTCCTACCGCGATATCCGATGTGCGAAGTATATTCAGTAGCCTGGCGGTCTATTCTCGGCTCCAGAAGCAAGGAGCACCACCGGTGTTACAGGCGAACAGATCCAGTGTGATCACCGTGGAGCAGTCTGAGTACATTCCCCAGTCGCAGGTCAGTCGAGCCTCGCTATCACTTCAGTCTCTAACATACGTACTTTTCTTGTATCTAGGAGCGGATAATGGAGACGGCTAAGCTTTCAAAATCTACCAGTCAGCCAGACGAGGGCCCAAAACCCCGAGCCGTCTCAGAATTACATCCCGAGAAACTTAGCTAGGTATTCTACTGATACAAGACTGAATGGTCTCAGAAAACGATACGCGACAAGACTTTGAGCCACCAGGGTACCATGCATGTCATCGCCATTTTCTGCAGCAGGGGAGAACCAACTCTTTCCAGGTACGTAGCCGCCAAAGAACAGCGCTTACGCCCAAGATGCAAACGACCCTGTCATCGAATAAGCGGCAAGCGTCGTTGGAGACACGGTGGATGTACCTTTCATAGGCCCTTTCACCCCGAATCCCAGGAATTTGAGGACCACTCGGACACTCTGCTCAGGGAAGTCTTTTGCCCAGCAGCCTGAAGAAGATATGAGCGACGGAAGTCCACTTGGGCGGCGGGACGCACTTGATATCCTGAACAGCATCTTCACGAGAGTCCAGAATCGATCCCAATGCCATTGAGCTCTCTCTTCTTTCATCCCATGCTGCTTCGCCAAAGCCACGAACGACGCCTCCGCTTTCGCCTTGGGCACCAGCGGCGCCTGTTCTCTGTCTTCCTCGCGTGCGTAAACTGCCGAGATCATCGAGTTGATCATCTGGCCCTCAGAGACCAAGGCGAAAAGGGCGCGTTCCAAGTCGGGGGCGGAAGCGAGGTCGGGGAGATCTTCCCCGATGTCCTCAGAAGGGCTCTACAAAGCGTCACTGACGTCGAGGAGTGGATTTTGGACATCGGAATCCCCGACGACGGGCGTCAGGGCAAGGGTTTTGGACCAACGATATTGACTGGCCGAGACAGGCACCGGGGTACGGAAGATGGTAAAAGCGCAGAGGATGGTGATAAGCCGACGGGCGAACATGATCCTGATGGATTAGAACGATGAAAAAAAATCCGGAACGGAACTCATATGGGCCTCGGTAGACGCCCAGAGGAGCGCCCAGTCCGCCTTCTCCCCGTGCTATGCATTCACAGTCGAATAAAGTTGTGGGCGCGTGCCATCGATGTACACACGTTTTGGCATGGGCGAGCGCCGTAATAGACGCAGAGCCGGCTAAGAGGTGGCTTTGTTCGTGGTTGCCGAAAGCACGGAAAGAACCCTAACCCAGGCTTCTGCCGAATTTGGAATTATCACACACAAAAAGCTTCTCAGACGCTCTAAACTGCCCAGTATCTGCACTGACCCGCGTGCACCGAGAGTCAACGTCCAACGTCAACGTTGTCATTTCCGACACGCTCTTCTCGCCTTTCCTCGACCGCCCATCTCCATTCTCGGCACCGCACAGAGCAAACACCGAAGGAGGTATACACCTGGTGCGTGCGTCTACTCCAACCACCTCGCGCAAAGGCTCTGAAACATGTCCCCCACAGTTATGGACGTACTCAGCATGAAAACACCACCCCTCACGCCACGCAGGCGCAAGCCACTCGTCACATATCAGTCCCCGTCAGCCGACAAAGCCAATGGGGTGACGAAGCCCTTGTCCAAGCTCTCGCACAATCTCGCCCCCATCCCCGTCGCCTCGTGCTCGAAATCCTCACATTCTAGCCCCAACATAATTGTACGAGCGAGCGGCGTGCCTCGCAAGCGGTACCCTATGGACCCTCCCCTGCCTCTGTACCACCCCATGGGCCCTCTGGCGATGTCGCTCCCCTTATTGCCACCCTCCCATTTCGGCCACCCCGACCCGGAGCCGGTGATCACGCCCATCGACGAGCTCATCGTCGACGCCAGCCGGCGCTCGTCGGCCCGCTCGCGCCGCCCGGTGGCGAAAATGCGCGACACGGCCGTCGATCGGGAGCGCGAGGACGGGAGCGCCTCGCCGGCGCCCTCGCTGCCGAACGTCGGTGCCATCGCCGCTGCCGCCGCGCTCGAGATCAAGGAGAAGCCCAGCCCGAGGAAGCGGCGCGGGGCGGCGGCTGCGGCGGGGGCGGGCGTCGTGAATGGGGTCAACGGGAAGCGCAAGCGCAAGGACGCTGAGGACGATGCGACGTACCCTGCGAAGCGGACGCGGCCGACGCGCGGTGCCGCTGCGTCGCTTGGGGCTGATGAGTCGGGCGATGATGAGTCGACGGGGCTGTTAGCCGAGTCTGCTATGACGCGGGAGCCGACCGAGGAAGCCGAGGAGATCACGCGCCCCGAGCGGAGATCGACGCGCTCGAGCGTGCGGCGCCGGGACTCGACCGCCAGCGCGAGCGAGGAGACGACTGCGTCGGTGCCCGCTGTGAGCCAGGTCGACGCTGCTGTCGAGGAGCCCATGATGCCCATCCACGAATTCGCGATGAGGAACACGAAAGAAGAAGGGGAAGTCAGCGAAGATGCCACTTGATGTCTTGCGTGTAGCCGTGTGTAATAGTCTGTGCCTGTGTCTGTGTCTCTGTATTCGTTGTACGACTGCTGTATCATAGAGCAGAATTGTTGTGATTTTTTCTTCATTGTTCGAGCTCCTCGCTTCGTGTGCAGAAATGAAATGCTTGGCCTCGCTTGTCAAATTGCCACACACGCGAGCTTGACAGGTGCGTATGCTCTCACACCCTCGCCGGACCGTGTGACAAACCCAGCTCGGGGCTGCTTCGAGCTTCTGGCGTCATCTTTGCCGCTGGACACCGAGCCGACCAATGGGATCGGGCGCTGTAATCGATGCAAGCAGGGAGCCGGTCCGTCCGGCCTTGTCTTGCTCGGGCCCGTGGGCCGGGGTTGATTGGTTTGCCCGTCGGCGCGGGTTTTATGCAAGATGCCAGCCGACATGGACAATGCACACATAGCCGCGAGGATCCGGAACTCTCCTCATGTGGCGCGATCACTCTGAGCACTTCGCACGCGAATCTGATTCTGATGCGAAGTGCACTCCACCACGCTAATTCTCCGAGTTTCTCCGGTTCTGGACTCGCAGACGGCGCTCTGGCGCTCAGCTCTCAGCTCTGTCTAAGTGAAATCGATTATCTAATTTCGACGAGATTGTAGAAATCAAACCGTGAGAACACGAATGACAATGCCTGATTGGCCAGTGGTTACGACTCTTCCAAGATCCAACTCGCAGCCCACCTGTGTGCGCCTTGCTCTTGAAGAGTTTTTCTCTTGTTTAGGCCCAGGTCTATCGCTGGCCGAGATGCCCATCTTTTCATTCGTGCTGTGGGGTGGAGCCAGTGATAACATTCGTTGACAGAATGCCAGCCTACTAGGCCTCTCCGAGCTTTTCGTCTCACTGGAAGCTAGCACTAATTGCCTGTATGAACGCATGCGCCCCTCTTTATCCTCGATTGGCACCAGGCAGAACCCGAAACGGCATATAATCGCTTCACCTATTCGTCATTTAACTCGGCCGAGGCTGCATTTCCTCCCACTCCTCCGCACCATGTCGGAGAAACAGCACACAGACACTGAAGACTCCCGGACGGAAATCTCTGCACCCGCTCACGGGAGTGTCGATCATATCCTCGACCCCGAGCTCGCAGCGGCGCTTTCTGCGGGTCCGCGGCTGAGCGCGACCAGTCGGACTGCACTAAGGCTGTATCTTGTGCTGACCGTGGCGTTCATGGGGTCACTCAGCTTTGGCTTCGACACGAGTGGTCCGTGCGCGCTGCTCTCGCAGCGCTGCCCTCTGACATGGATTCTCCAGTCATCGGCTCGGTCAACGGATTGATGTATGTGCTGAGCCACCCACTGTTGCATTTGCCTGATGGACTGACGTTGCGATAAGCCAATTCATACATTACTTTGGGCTGCAGGGTGGGGCTAGCGGCGGAGGCCAGGGTGAGCCATCGTTCATGTCCGAGCTGATTATACCCCTCTCAGTGCCTTAGGAATCGTCGCTGGTGTACTGATCAGGTGCGGAAGCCACCCACCGGGCGTATGGACTCTTCGCTCACATGTAACAGCATGTTCTCACTGGGATGCATCCCCGCCTTGGCCGTGGCTGCCCCGATCGCAGATCGGTTCGGACGCCGTGCGGGAATGGTAGACGGCTCGCCACCCTCAATGATCGTTGGCTCATCTCTCGCATTGCAGTTTTGTGCAAGCGTTGTTATCTTGACCGTAGGTGCTATCTCGATTAAAACGCCAATACTCATCTTCTCGCAGGGAGTCGCTGTAGTCACGAGCGCGCAAAACATTACATCCTTATTGGTCGGGCGCTTCTTGGTCGGATTTGGGAGTACGATCAGTCATGCAGCTGCGTCCGTGCCATATTTTCTCTCTCGCGCGCCGAAGATCGCTGAAGCCACTCGCTGTAGACCCGCATATGTTGCGGAAATGTCACCACCTCAAGTGAGCGCTGCTTTGCAATACCTTTCCCTGCTCACAGGTTCTCAGTGGCGGGGCCGGCTCGCCGGAATGTGAGTTTTTACAATGCATGATGGGTCAAGATGATCGCTGATCCATTCATGCCTCAGTTCTAATGGTTAGCATCCGCCATGCACATGTCGCTGCACCGATTCAAGTCCTGTTTTAGCATTCACTTTCATCGGCACCATGACCAGTTCCGGCCTGGTCATCGGCACCGGCCGTCTCCGATCCAGTCTCTCGTGGCGCCTTCCGCTGGCCGTCCAATTTATCCCCAGCCTCGTCATCTTGTTCGGCGTGTTCTTCATCCCCGAGGCAAGTGGCCGCTCGCACCGCGCGATCCCCTGATTTTGACGTGCGGCATTTGACAGTCGCCCCGCTGGCTCATGTCCGCCGGGCGCGCGGACGAGGCGCGCAGGGTGCTCGCGCGGTACCACGCAGCAGACGGCGATGAAAATGCGCCCGTCGTTCTCTTGGAGTTCCAGGAGCTGCAGGAGCACATCAAGCCGGAGGCGAAGAAACGGCTGTGGGACTATTCAAGCCTGTTCAACTCGCGGGGCTCGAGGTATCGGATGCTGATCACGCTGTGGCTCGGGTTGTGCTGCCTGCTGTCTGGTCCGGGTATCTTGTACGCACTATAGTTGATTCCATCACACCCATCCACTCACAGACGCCCAGCTATTTCTCGACAGTGGCGCTGCACCTTGCGGGAGGTGAGCGCAACCTGGTGGTGGAGTCTCCCGCTGATTGGAACTGACGCGCGACACAGTCAATACTCAGAACGAACGTCTGGTGCTTTCCTTCACCGCCAGCGCCATCGGTGCGGCCGGCGCGCTGATCGGCGCTATCCTCGCCGACAAAAGTAAACAGTAGTCCGCAGTGGCTTCTCGGAGGCGCTCACTGGAATTTCAGTTGGTCGCCGTACGCTTTGGCTGTGGGGCAGCGCTGTGTGCGCGGCGGCCCTCGTCTTGACCGGAGGTTTGTCCGCGACGGCAGCCCTTGCTACGCGCACTCACAAAAAGCAGTGTTCACGGCACATAAGATGACTGAAGCCGCTATAGCGTTCTTCCGTAGGCGGACGCCTCGTCTTCCGTCGCAAGTCGACTGATTTGTCGCAGTATTTCTCTCCTTTGCGCTCAATACGACATACATGCCGCTGCAGGGGATTTATCCGTCTGAATGCTTGACTTATGCGCATAGATCGAAAGGGCTCGTCTTGTGAGTCGCCCGCACTGCACAGCCCTGCAGATGATCATCGAGCATAATATAGATTTGCCGCCATACAAAGCGCAGGAGCTCTGTGCAACACCTTCGGCGGCTCCATTGCTTACAAAAACATCGGCTGGCGGTACTTCCTGGTTCCAGCCACGTTTGACGTCGTGCAGACACTGGTCGTCTGGCTCTTCGCGGTGGAGACCAAGGGCCGCACATTGTAAGTGTCGATCGACCGACCGCTATTCCTCTTATTCACAGCATGCACAGAGAAGAGCTGGATGTGATATTCCAGGAGCGGAACCCAGTGGCAGCGTCCATCAACAAGAGACGGGAGACGTCGGAGAAGAATTAGATCGCTCAGTAGTCACGAGTGGGATACAGAGAATCTTTGCTTGTGAGGCTACGATAGCGTTGTTGTTTATGCGAACGGGTTCCACGAGCGCCGAATCGGTTCGTACTGAGTAGGGGGATCGTGGGCGTACGGGCTTTCCGTCGGTGGCTGCGAAATGGTCGTGAGTGCGGTCATGCGGGAAAGCACGGAACGCGCATACGGGTAAGTTGCGTTCCCTGTCGTCGAATGAGAACCATGTATGGCACATGAGATGAGCGGGAGGCTTACCATTTGATACCTCCGGGAGCAGACATGGCTATGAAGTGGGATAAGCACGAGGACTCGAAGATCCCACTGCACACGCACGGATGTAAGGATCAGGATGTTTCCAGGCCGCCAGTTTGGCCTCTGCCTGCTCGAAAACCTGCGCCAGCTCTCTCGCATCCGTCACGTCCCTATAGACGTTATTAGCTGACCTCAGTAGTTGAAGGACAGCCAGTGCGCGCGTACCGGTTAATTTCAAACTCAGCCCGGATGACCATGGCTTTCCTGCGCCATTCATCGCGGCGAATCGTCCAGTCCAGGGAGTTCTTCAAACGCCGTCTATACAGCGACTGCACATACTGCCTGTGCGCCGTGGCAAAGGTGGTGGTTGCTGCTGTCATTGCACTCTTGTTTGCCTGCGCTTGCCATCGACGCCTGATTGATTCTCTGATTGACGTTTTCTTCCCTTTCTGCTACAATACTTACGCGGGGCCGCGAAGTGGCCCGCACGAGTCAATGGACCCCCACTCAACGCTCTCCCAATACAACCAACGACGCACACGAAAAGCCGCCCCCGCTTCCATCAAGTACATGGAGGTTCAGCCAGTGAAGCCCCCGCTGCTTGATTCCTTTCCGAAGCGGCCGACCCCCTCGCACAAAGCGTCGTCGTCGTCGTTATCCTCTCCTGTCGTCATCCGCCGGCCGATCGCCACGAACTCGCGCGTGAAGCAGGACGAGAAGTACCGCAAGGACCTGCACCTGGCCTTCGTCAACAACGCGCTTCTCCAGAAAGCTAATGTGCGTTCCCGCGATCGTGATCGCGGCGGAAAATTTTGCTGATGGGTGCGCTAGGGAACGAGTGAGCCGTACGAGGAGCTGGTGAACCAGTTCAATGCGAAGAACGCTCAGATCCAGCCTGCGCAGCTCCGGCTCTGGATCTCCGCGCTGTCGCACGTGGTGTCCCGGTTGGAGAAGTCACACGCCACCCTCGTTCAGGCGGTCGTCGGGTTCCCGTGGACGACCATGGATGCGGCGACGGTCAGGGCGTATACCGTTTTCATCGGGATGCTCCTGAGTGCGCGGCCCGAGTATCTGTCTCTCGTTCTCAGCAAGATCACACATGGATTAACCTATCGTGCGTCCGCCCTCCGCATCCTCCTTCTCCTCCTCGGCCTCATCAATATGTCTTAGAATCGGGCCTCCAAGCATTGGATAACAACACACCGGAGGGGTCGTCTGCGCCGTTGACCCGACGTGTCATCTATGATCGGTTGCACACCCTCCTCCGACATCTGTTGACCCTCATTCCGACGCTTCCTTCGACTCTGCAGCCGTTGATTGTGCAGAGCTTTCCTCATAAGCGGCAAAGCCAGGCTTCGCAGTCCACCTATATCCGCAATCTGTTGCGCATCTCGTCCTACTGCCCGGAACTCAGTGACAAGATTTTGTCCACCATCATCGATCGGGCTATACAGATAGATGTAGGTGGCTCCTACTTGGGTGCCCGTTTCTGGCTTGACGCGCATTGCAGGTAGAAATCCAAGTAGAGCTGGAAGAGATCGAGGAGCAGACGGAACAGGATCAGGACTTATTCGAGCTTGATCCGTTTGACACCGTTCTGGGCCAGGAGGGAGACGATTCTGACGCATCCGACTCGGATGATGATGACGACTACGAGGATGACATGAGCGATGTCTCGTCCATTGGAGACGAACCGGAAACGCACTCTGATATGAGCCACATTCAGGAGATGGTTAAGAAGCTGGATGCTATTCTCTCTTTGACGTTCGAACACTTCCAGCGGGTGCAAGAAACTGTCTCTCCGAATGATCCTACTCCATCTACTAAACTTCCGCCCGATCTACCACCATTACCGCCTCTTACCCCGTCTTCCTCTTCGCCCCTGATGTCGCCACTGGAGTTTCCTACCTCAGATCCTATCATTCAGGTTATACCTCGTCCGCCACCCCCGACAGTCCATGCGCAGTTCCAGAGCCTGCTATCCATCTTCGACCGACTGATCCTACCGACATTCAAGTCGAGATACACACAATTCCTCGTGTTTTTCTACACATCGTTTTCACCGGAGTTTGCGGACATCTTCCTGGGCTTGCTTGTCGACCGGGCGCTGTTCCAAACGGCTGTGCCCGCGGTCACACGAGCAGCCGCGGCTGCTTACATCGGCAGCTTTGTCAGCAGGGGCAACTTCGTTGATCGTGCAGCGACGCGACGCGTTGTGGGTGTGCTGTGCGACTTCATGCGTTCGCATGTAGATGCGGTCGAGGAGATGCTGCGGGTGGGCGCGTCTGTATCGAGTGGCTCGACCATCTCTGCGCAGAACGGCGTTTTCTATGCGATCGCGCAAGCGGTGTTCCTCATCTTCTGCTTCCGCTGGAGAGACCTGCTGGAAGACGCAGAGGATCTCGATGCGGAGGATCTTGTCGGGAAGCCCGGCAAGAAGTGGATCCCAGAGCTGGATGTGGTGCAGAGAGTGGTGCATTCGGTGTTGAACCCACTCAAGGTGCGTGGCCGTACGCACTCCTATCGGTGTCTATCTGAACTTCGGGCCAGATCTGTTCCACAAACGTCGTGCATCAATTCGCCCACATTGCACAAGCGACTGATTTCGTGTACTGCTACACGATAATGGACGCTAACCGGCGCTCCGAGTACTCGGCAAGCAGCGCGGACCGCCAGCCTAGTGGACTGCTGACGAGTGCTTCCGCGATGCGATTTTCCGCCGCCCTGCTTAGCAGCGGCATCACCGCCGAGCTCAACACGTTCTTCCCCTTCGATCCCTACAAGCTTGCGAAATCGGGTACATACATCCAGAGCATATACCGGGAGTGGAGCTCCGTGTCCCTCGACGAGGACGAGGATGACGAGGAGGAGGAGGAGGAGGAGGATGACGGTCTGGAAGATCGGGCGGGGATGGACATACCTGCAGTGATAGATTCCCGGGCGTCGTCGGAAGGTCTCGGTCTGGGTGAATCTCTCGGTGCTATGAGCATCTCGCCGGTGCGGCCGACCATACCTGGCCCGTAAACAGATCTTACTCTCGCTTTCGAATGCTCTCGCGTTGTCATTGTACCTTTTAAAATCTGGAATGGGGAGCTCTCAGGTTGTTGTTGCGACACGAAACCGGCCACGTTTCACTGTTAAAGCGGTTCAAATTAAGGCCCAGAACCATCTGTGGATCGAAGATTGGTTGTGTCAAGATCTGGTACAGCCACTCTGGTGCCCTCGGAGGTTTGCCACTCGGGCTTGCCCTATTTGGATTCTTAGTGCTTAGCTCCAAGAAGGATCGGGCCGTACGTAGGCGATAGAAAGGCACTGATATAATGTTAACTACCCTTGATGCCCAGCAGGTACCCTAACCACTTGCCCATCATCTGCTTCATGGTACTTACTTCCGTTTGCTCGTGCACCGGAGAAACGTACTGAGTCAACTCGAGGACTATCAACTTCCAGTGGACGATGTCGAAGCCGCTGTGCGTTCTTCTCGCTCCCCCACACTGTCCTGTTCGATTCAGAGGCTTGTGCAGAGGCTGGCCATGCAGCACGAGATGTGGACAAGACTAGTCGGCGGGCTCTATCCTCCCTCCCAGAAAGAGACAATCGATGTCTTGATGACTCGACCGACGCCCGTCATTGTTGATTTGGGATGCGGCTCTGGTCATTGGTGCGACGCTGAGCCTGAGAATTCTGGCCACGCGCTGATCAGATGGTCATGTGCATCAGGGCTATTTCCATGGCCAAATTGTATCCTCAGGCGCGCGTTATCGGCGTCGACATTTCCAAGCACGCGTTCCGGTGAGCTTCTATCAGATTCTTGGACTTGGATTGTTTGGACCGTAATATGACAGAAATGCGCCGCCGAACTTCGAGTGCGTATCCGCCTTGGCCAACAATTCGAGTCAATTCATTTCTCCAGATTCATGCAGCTAGATATCTCAAAGGAAATACCGATTTGTCCTAGTGGCTATAGTCTGGTCCATGCACAGTCAATTTTGGCGCATGTGAGCGGCGCGCGCATCGTATTCTAGTACTAATCGACTCCCATAAAAATTTACAGTTGAAAGACCCCAAATCAGTCGTCGAACGTGCCCAGAAGCTTCTTGTCCCCGGTGAGAAACACCGAGAATATTCGAATTTAGGTTTCTCACTATCTTCGAGGTGGTGTTATGATTGCCAGCGACCTCGGGGAGACGGTGTTCGATGAACATAAAACTAAGATGGATCCGCTCTTTCCCGCTACCGACAGCGCACTCGATACACTCAGCTCGCAAGGGTCTTGGCTAGCCGGGTGGATGTGTGCTTTTCGAAAAAACATCGGCACCGACTACATCCCTGCCGACTTATTTCTCGTCGATCCTTGTGTGTTCTACGAAGTTTACTTCTGTCCTAGCGGCTGGAATGGCAGCGGCGACTCGGAATACGGAGCGGAATCGGGTGATGTGGCACTCAGGAACTCTCTGGTTGCGTTAAATGAGAGCATTAATTCTGAATGCCTCTACTCACAATGTTTCAGGAGTTTGTATCAGCTTGTACTCCGTCCATGGTATCCAGGGGAGGATACGACAACGAACAAACACAACGATGGGCGCGCGAAGTCGTGAACGAGATTAAAACGAGGAGAATTTATGTCTGTTGGGAGCTTGCCGTCTCAATCAAATCACTTGGAAGTTAGTTTCTATGGACGCAGTATCAAATGTGGATAAACAGACGGAACCGAGACGCATCTTCCTAGAATGTAAACTTCAACATGCCGGCTTTGCCGATTGATTTGATCGATCATTGGATCGAGATCGCTGATGCGATGAGTCGATCACTTCCTTTGTTCTTGGCCAGATTGCGAGGCCTACAATCCACTCGACCCTCAATCGGCGCCTTTCCGTTGCACAGAACATCAGAAGGGAATTAGCTCATGGGAAAGAGCCAAGAAAATGCTGCTGCCAGCTCCAGCTTGCACGTTCAAGGTATGCATCCTTCCGCGCTCGTACTGATCCACGCCGTCTCATCGGCTCATACCAGTAGCCGCTGAGGAGAATCACAAAAAAAGGCGTAGAGCTGCGTCCACCAGGCCGGGGAACGAATCTGGAGACGGGTAGGTCTCATGAATCCCCCTGCCAAGATCCACAGCTGACTCAATTCCAGCAGCTCGCGCACACACCTCGAGAGCAGCAGCAGCAGCCAGCTCCAACAGCTCTCCGTTCTACTATCCTCCCGTCCAGATACCGTTCCGGCTTTTGAACTGAGACTCTTTCCACTATCACTCGAGCGTTCAGCGCAACTGGTGCAACTCGAGCTGGAGGAGAAGAACGCGATCCACCTCGCACATATGGCTTTTGAGGAGGAGCAACAGAGCGTGCAGAAAGAGTGGCGTATCGGGCACGACAGGGTTCGACAGCGCCTCCTTGAAGGGATAGAAGAGGGTCGTCGACGGGCGCGGGAGGAGAAAGATAGCGAGGGTATAGCTGGAGGTAAGTCCCCCATTTTGTATCACTCCGCCAGCTCCCATTGATTCGTAACCCGCCCAGACGCGTCTCTGGATAAGTCACGTTCCCACGTCACTCGTAAGCTACGAAACAAGCTGGGCTCCTCCCCTCCTCCCGGAGATGCAGCAGACTCTGGCATCCCCACCGCTGTCCCGTTGGTGCATCCGCACTCGCTCTCAATAGACGAAATTCCATCACCGTTCCCTCTCGCGCTCATGGCTTCCGGCGCCGGTTCAGCCTCGCGGGCAGCAGCAGCCAGCAATGCTCGAAAGAAGCCTAGACGCACCGGCAACTCCACGAAACAGGATAATCCGCCTGCGGAAAGTATAGTGCAACTCCTAGCGTCTGCAGAGTGCAAAGAGGTCGAAATTGATAACGATTTGATGGAGATCCGTCGCGCAATCAAGCGCAGACGCGCTTTGCTTGGAAGATAGGACTTTTGGGTCGATGTACGGCATGTATTATAACTTATCTACATTTGTATGATAAAAGTCAGATAGGCAGATTGCAACCAGCCTGCGGAAAGGGATGCGAACTTGAGAACTTAGCTTAATTTGACGATCAATGACTCACGTGATCGTGTATTCTACCAGTGATCTAGGCTCAAAATCAATACTTTGCGACCCCGCGACCCCAAACTTGGCGCTGGTAGTCCAGCAGTATCGGAGCAAAATCGAGCAGTCCAAATTCCGGCCAGTTTTTCTGTGTGAAGTGTATTTGGGTGTCCTCACAACACTTGGATGTGAGAGATGAGCGAGTGTTCAAAGACCAATGATCACATCGCACCTGCCAAAGAAGGTAGTCACTTAAACGCTTCACCCCGCTCGTTCGTACCAATATCTCGAGCGGCGGGCTGCGCGCTTGCGATGTCATCAGGTGCGCTTCGATGTCGGCTTCGCAGATGTCGATGCCGTCTGCGTCTGATTTGTCGAGAGCAGCGGCCACAGCCAGCTTCACAGCCCCGGCCATCTCGTCCTGTGAGGAATAAGGCATGCATATGTTGAGGATCGCTGTGGAGCGGGATGAGCTGGCGGCCGCACGCACGATGAAACCGCTTATTTGTTGTTATTCCGCGTCACGCTTTCCACCGTCCGGATAGCTTCTTGCACGTATTCAGGAAGCAATGATGTTCGGCCGAGTACGTTCAGTCGCACGCCGTACTCTTCCAAGATCTTGCTACGTCATTTAGTGGTAGGAACGGTCGCCAGGATAGATCGCATAGGCGGTGGCGTACCCATGCTTGGCCATCTCCAGCAGCTTTTCGTGTGCAAGGTGCATCAGCCCGTCAATCTCCTCGGGTGTGCGCCGGAAATTGTCGAGCGCGAAAGCGTATACCGAGACGCAGCGGATTCTGAGCCTCAAGCATGCTTCGAGCACCTGTCTAGCTTGATCATTCACTAAATCAGGCAGGATTGATACTGCAGCCACGCACCCTAAGGAGGGCGACGAATCCCTCGCTGTGTCCCTCGATTGCGGCTTGGTGTTTTCGCCGTGCGTGGCGGCGGTTGCCGTCCATCACGAAGGCAACATGCTTGGGTATGGGCCCCGATGCTAGGACACGGAGGAGGAAGCGCTCGGCGCGCTGAACAATTTTAGAGTGTAGCCAGTACAGGGCACGTCGGAACATTGGGCTGGAGATGGGACACCAGAGCCTGGAGGACACGTTCGGTGTCACAGGCAAGTGACACGACGCGTTGATGCAGCATCAATTCGACGCGTCTTACTCTCACCTAAACACTCATCATGTCCCTGCCATCCTCGCTCCGCCCAGCTCTGACGCCACCGGAGCTCGAACTCATCGCCTGTCAGGAGCTCGTGCAGATCGTCCCCCTCATAGCGATGGAGAAAACCGCATTCATCGCTGTGCGTCATGCACCTCTTTGTGCACGGGCAACGCCGCTTTATGTACCTCCAGGGCGCTTACGGGCCTTTGCGGCCTCCCCACAGATCGAGCGTCCCGATATGGATGGCCGTGAATCTCAAACAAAAGAGGAAATGCCACATCGTAGCGCCTGAATGGCTGACCATCGGTGCGCTTTGCTCGTCAGACGCGGTTCGATCCCCCTCGTGACAGGGTCCCCAGAATATCTGCAGGAGAAGCTGACGCAAGAGACGACGCAGAAAGAGTTCACCAAGTTGCCGTTTCGATTCGCGGAGATTTCACATGTTCTTCTCGATGTGTGCGTAGGGTCGCCGTTCCGCCGCCGCTCACGATGCTTAGCCGGTCCTGCAGCGCATCGGACGACATTCCGAACTCCGATAAGATACGAACGCTGCTGAAGGACCTGCGGGAGGCGAGGCAGGCCAAGGCTAGGGCTGGACTGGAACACCTCGATTATTCTTCGCTCGGGGTGAGTGACTTCTGCTTTCCGTTCCATGCGTGAACCTTGTTTTAGTTGACCAACCTTTGCTCGATGGAAGTCAATGAGATCCGACCGGTCTTCATTCAAGCTATGACGGTGTTGAACCAATTGCGAGCCGCGCCAGAGTCACAGCAACGATGAGACCACTCATCACCTCAGCAGCAGAGGAAGATCGGAGGTTTACCGACGAATCAAACTCGAGCTCTGCATTTGTCTTATTTGGGGCAGATGTTTTGAGCTAGCCGGATTTCGAAAAGATTCAAGAAACCTGTCCTGACAGAACGCAAACGGGTCTCCGTGATACAACTATTCGACAGCAAGATTACCAAAAATCCATTATCGGCTCGATTAAATAAGTAGGTTACCTATCTAGTGGCTTCATGAGTCTACAACTCGTAGCCGGCTGAATGTAAGAGCGTTGCAAGCTGGACCTTGGCGATCGACTTGACCTGATCAAAGTCGTAGTTGTCTCGTTCGCTCAAATCGCCTGCGAGGAGGACTGTAAGGACTCGGGATGTAAGAAGACAGCAATGCATACCACTGTTGTGATACATCGGGTCAACGATGGGACCCGCTCGCTCAAAGACTTGGGTGGACGGGAATCCCTGCTCCCAGAAGGACTGATATTCATTTAGACAAGAACTGGCGTCACAGAGTGATTGTTGAACACACCTGATGATCACTGCAGCAAGCCTGAAGATCGTCACTTCCAACTCCAGATGGTGCTCAATAGACGACTCACAGCTGTGACACCAACGCGCAATTCAGGACTGTAGATCTTCGAAACATTGGCCACGAGCTGCGCAATTTCCGGGGTGCCGATGCTGCATGCGAGATGAGATGACGAGTGGAGTCGAAGAAAGAGACCTACCTGAGAGGCAACCCGAGCTGAGCAGGCTCACCCGCAGCGTGGTACGCCAGCATATCCGCCTGGATCATCACCGTAATGTTCGCATCAGCAGCCCGCATCTTCTTCGCATAGGCCTTGGATCCGAGCAAGCCCTGCTCTTCTCCGCCGAAGGCCACAATCTGGACATTGCTGTGGAACTTGATGTCCTTGCGGGCAATGGTGCGAGCGATGGCGAGAATCGCCATGGTTCCTGAGCCGTCGTCATCCCCACCGGGTGCCCGCGTGCTGCCGAAAGACCCGCGAGAATCGTAGTGAGCACTCAATAGCACTGTAGCAGTCGTGTTGACGAGAGACGGGTAGGCACTGCAGGCATGAGTACACTGAATGTACGTATATAAGAAAGCCACTCTTACCAGACGACGTTCGGAGTAAAGCCGATCAGGAAGTCCTGCAGCTCGCACGTGGCCCCCGTCTCCTCGAAGCGATCCTAAGGATTGGGTTAAGAAGAGACACGTAGACATCAACAGAGCACGTACCTTCAGCCAGCTTGCGGCGGTGCGCGAGCCGTCAGAGAAGGAGTGGCGAGACATGATAGGCGACTCTTCGTCCTCCCCGGTGAGGAAGCGGATGTCTTTGATCATCTGCGGGACCGAGATACTGTCGACGATTCCCGCGACCTCGGGGTTGAAGCTGAGAGTCGAAAGAACATTCTTGGCATGCTCAATGGCAGAGTCGGGGACGGGGATGTATTTGACGGCCGCGGTGGGGACAAGCGTGGATTTCCAGAAGCGAGGAAGGATGGTGTCGACCATGTAGCCCTGGGCGGGGCTCACGGACAGCAAGGCTGCGGTGGGGGTTTGGTACAGGACCTCAAATTCGCCACCGGTCGTCGGAACAGTCAAAACGGTCTGGTCGCGACGTACGGCTCCGCCCGCTCGGAGCCGGTCAAGGAAGGCGTCGAACTCGCTACGAGCGGACACAGCGGTAGCCAACAGCGCAGCATCGACGGCCTCCTGCTCCACCCATACGAGTTGTTGAATGTCCCTCTGCGCCTGGGAAATGGAGGCTGAAGGAGCACGCGTCACATCGAGCCACGATTGCAGGCACGCCTCGTCCGGCAGGAAGACGCTCTGGGTCGTCTGACTGTCGATGAAGTTGCCATAGAACGACTCCGATAGACAGGAGTCGAACAGAGACGGCTGGAAGCTGGTGACCAGCAGGACAGCACCTGTAGCGACCGAGCTGAGGAACATGGTGTGCCTGAGTAGAGGAGATAAGAGACACAGCCACAAAGACGCGTCGTTTAAACTTGGAATTGCGTGCAGGTAGGCGGCCGCGGCGAATCGGCGATGCTCGGCCAGCCATACTTATAAGTACATGACATTCCGGGTCCCGCTGATCCAAGGTCTTGCAGGTCCTTGCTCATGAAGCAGCTCGTTAGGGAGAACTAATGAGGGAAAATCGTCCAGCCGGGGAAGAGGCTTCAGTTACGTTGACATGATGTGGTTGTGTGCCATGAGGTGTCTGGACCAAGAAAATAGCAGAGTAGAAACGGCCGAATAATCCAGCATGCGGACAACACCCAGTAGCGTCGGTGAATTTAGACATTTTCGGAGACGATCACCATCCACATTGTATGTCATATAATGCAACGTGGTATTCATCGTCACGTCCACCGTGGCGGAGATTCGGGCCAGAGTCCAAGGATGTGAGCGAGTGCGGTAGAAAGACACCAGGTTTGGATAGCATAAAGCTCGTGTCCGCAAATGAGGAGGGCGGGATGGATTCGGACATTGGCCGGCGCACGAGATACGCCGCACAGCCACCCAGACGCGTCTTTCTGGAACCTGCATCAAGCTTGCATGCTGCGTTCTTCCGCCGGCAATGGGTACGTGGCGCACTGGGATCACGCCTCAACCGCCTGACCTAGCCCACAGAGTCCTCAATCGCCAAGCAGTTGGTTGACAAGATTTACGAGAAACGCAAAGCAGCAGCGCTCGATCTCGAAAAGTGCGTGCGCCCGACTGCCGAGCGTTCAGAAGTGACCTCAGACTTGACTTCAGACAGATTCGAGAATGTCAGCAGCAGAACGACCATCGCAGGATAAGCCAGATTATCGACCAATTGGTGGAAATGTTTAGCAACACCTCAAATGCCTTGCATATGCGCAATGGCGGGCTTATTGGATTGGCCGGCACGGCAATAGCTCTCGGGGTCGACGTCGCGCCGTATATGGAGAAGTTCGTGCATCCGCTACTCGACTGCTTTGTCGACACGGAGAACCGCATCCGGTACTTTTCAGCCGAATGTCTGTACAATATCGCCAAGGTGTCAAAGGGGGAGGTTTTGGTGTATTTTAACGAGATCTTCGATGCTTTGAGCAAGGTGCGTAGCCCTGCCTAGTCCCGAGTCGATTCCTGAGCCACGGCCGCCAGCTTGCCGCCGACTCCGAACTGTCTGTGAAGAATGGCGCTGAACTGCTTGATCGGCTCCTCAAAGACATCGTTGCCGAATCCGCCTCCGTCTATATACCGCTATACCCCGAAACCGAACGGGCTCGTGACGAAGCACACGGCGTGCTTGTCCCGTACCCCGATGGTGTGCTGCGGGGCAACGAGGAGGGCCTGCGCAAGGCGTTCTCCTTGGCCCATTTCGTGCCCCTCCTGCGTGACCGAATCTATGTCGTCAGCCCATTCACGCGAAGCTACCTCGTCTCCTGGATCAATGTTCTTGACTCGGTGCCTGAGCTGGAGTTCATCGCGTACCTGCCGGAATTCTTGGACGGCTTGTTGTGAGTCATCACCGTTTCCTGCTACGTCCGCTCCCCTGAATCCGCTTCGCAGGAAGTACCTCTCAGACCCCACTGAGGACGTCCGAGTCGCGACTGAAACATTGCTGGCAGACTTCGTCCGGGAGATCCGTGACGTCACCGTCGTTCGCAAACGTACAGAGGAGAAGGCAAAGTCTCTGCACGACAGCTCTTCCATCAGGCATTCGGAATCTGGCGTCGATGAGTCTCGGCTACCAGATTTCAGCGTGGACCAGAGCGAGCGCGCGGTGTTCATCGCGGAGAATGACGGGAGCTCTGCATACGGAGATGACATCGCACCCTTAAGAGATGACGGGCCCAGTGAAGTTGAATATCGGGATACTGGCGGTATGTTGCTCTATGCACCCTGTTATCCACTCTGACGCTCTCCAGCTTGGATTCCTGGCCAAGGAGTGCGAATCGACTATGATGCTATTATTGAGATCTTGATACAACAACTGGATGGTGAACGTGAGTCAAACGTCTCTTCTCTTTGAAGCAATTCTCACACATAAGAAGACGACGAAATTCAGCAATCTACAGCGCTGCGATGGCTTGCTGAATTCCTGACCTTCACAAGCGAAGTCATGGTCCCGTTCACACCCCGACTCATCCCTGCCATCCTGCCGAATCTTGCCCATCATGTGGCAATGATTCAGTCCGCTGCCCTGCAGACCAATAAACTCTTGCTGAACGTTATACAAGCCTTGCCGTCTCCCTCGGACCCTGCCCCCCGGCCAACAGCCACTGCCGTGCCCCGTCTTCCCGGATCGCCAACACCCACAGGAACCTCCTCTCCATCCAAACAGTCATCGGTCGATGTCGATCTCCCGGCGGATCACCCGACGATCGTTCCCGTCAGGTCCCGAACCAATCTCTCCGGCGTCGATCAGCCTCGTTTGTCGGACATGGGGCCACCTCCTTTGCCCAACGCGGGGACCACGAGTCGACCCCACTCTCCAGTTTCGTTCACGAGCCAAACGGGTCAGAACAGCATCAACATCCCGTATGCAGCATCGCCTGAGGAGGCGGATCCGTTCGACTACCAGGCGACGGTAAATGAGCTGACGATCCAGTTCCTGAGCGAGTTTGAGGAGACGCGTGTTGCTGCGCTCAAGTGGTTGATCATGCTTCATCAGAAGGCTCCGAGGAAGGTGCGTGTCGTCGTGTGAACTGGTTCGACGTCTTCGCTGATTCTGTGTAGATTCTTGCTATGGACGACGGGACATTCCCGGCGTTACTAAAGACCCTCTCAGATAGCTCCGAAGAGGTGACATGAAAATCTTTAAGTGTAAATTTCAAGGCACTGACAGCGCTCTAGGTCATCAAACATGATCTGCAGCTGCTGGCTCAAATCTCGTCCAGCTCTGAAGAGACCTACTTCAAAGCATTCATGATGAATCTGCTGGAGCTATTCAGCACGGACCGGAGGCTGCTCGAGACCCGGGGCAGTCTGATCATTCGACAACTCTGTTTGAATCTGAACACGGAGCGGATCTATCGGACGTTTGCAGAGATATTGGAGAAGGAGGAGGTGACGTTTTCTCTATCCATTCATTCTCATTGGGACTTATTCATCTTCAGGACCTTGAGTTTGCGAGCGTCATCGTGCAGAAGCTGAATCTTATACTGATTACATCACCCGAATTGTCCGATTTCCGTAAACGACTGAAGAGTCTGGAGACTAGGGTAAGCGCTTTGCTCTACAACACGTGCCAGGAGCTGACTCCTGAACAGCAAGACGGACAGGCGCTGTTTACCACACTGTACCGTTCTTGGTGCCACAACGCCGTCTCTGTCTTTTCACTCTGTCTTTTGGCGCAGGCCTATGAGCATGCCTCGAATCTGTTATCTATTTTGTCAGTCGTCCGTGTTGTGCTCCAGTTGCCGGCAACTGACAGTCTGCAGTGCTGATCTCGAGATCACCGTTCCAATGCTTGTGCAAGTGGATAAACTCGTCCAGCTGATAGAGTCGCCGGTTTTTACATGCAAGTACTTTGGAGGAGAGACGCATTTAATCTGACGCGTTTTTCAGATATCCGCCTGCAGCTGCTAGAGCCCGAACGCTATCCTTATCTCTTCAAGTGCCTGTACGGCCTGTTGATGCTCTTGCCGCAGAGTTCTGCGTTTGTTTCCCTTCGCAATCGGCTGAATGCGGTCAATTCAGCTGGGTTCCTTCACATTGCACCAAAGTCGTGAGTACACTACGTGGATATTGAGGAAGCACTGAATTGATGGTTTGTTCAGGACGATGTCAGCCATAGCCTCGCGCTCGAAAATCGGCGGGCGGGACGAAATCAAGTGGCAGGAGTTGTTGCTGCACTTCCGGTCTGTGCAGTCGCGACACGAGAAGGCGCGGCGGCAAGCGATGGGCGCCGACACCTCCATGTTCTCCTCCACGCTCTCAGACTCGGAGAAAACCGACCGCGAAGAGCGCGTGGGCCGGTCGACGAGTGCGCGGCCTGGCACACGCCGGCGGGTGACTGGTGAGATTGGGTCCTCGCCGATGCCAGGACCGGGACCAGGAACGGGATCAGCGCCCACGACGAGAGGCCCGGGTGCGCTTTCGCCGTTGAACCCACGGGCGAGAGGGTCGATTGTTGGGAGCGGGATTTTGTCGCCGCAAAGTCAGTCGTCAATGCTGTCGCAGCAGAGCCAGAAGCCAAGGAGAGCGCCGATTGGTTTGGGGAGGAAGACTTGAGTTCACTCTCCCGTTTGTCTTGGTTGAGGGTAGTTCTCCTAGGTCGGCATCAGCGAGCGTAGTGTGTTGATTCGGCAATGACGATGTCGCTTGTCCTGACATTTCTCATTTGAGCATGTACTATATGTACGTCAGTCAGTAAGGCTAATTGTTCCCTGTTGTACGTATAAACGCGCGCGATGCCGAAGAACAGGAGCTTCGGGACCGATCCAAGGGCACCCTCTCTTCTTCCTTCCCCCACGACTATAGAGCCGTTATTGAAGCCTCGGACCTCATTCCGAAATTACAGCGGATCTCCGCTCTGAACACGGCTGGCTGCTTCCCAAAACAGCCAACATATCCGGCGCGGCCGTATGTGTGTGTCCGAGAATCTGGCTGCTCGACAGTGGCAGTGGCAATAGCCTCGTGTTCACGCGCGCCTTCGAACCGGATCCTGTCTGGCAGTGAGCACGAAGTCGAGCTTACTCGGGAGGACTCGTTCCAACGTTGCTGGCGGCATCAGTGACGAGTGTGTTCGGCGAGGATCTTATTTGGAGCGTGTACTAGTCGGAGAGAGGTTGGCTGGAGATCTGCAAGTCTGGATGGGCAATTGGATTCCAGCTTGCTGTCGTCTTGGAATTTCGGACCGGACCTGATGAGACGACTTTGGGGGGGAGGCGCAAGCGATCAGATCTCATTCCTCGACATGCGCCAGGCGTGGATATCCACCTCGGGCCGAACTCGCCGAGCCAGGTGGAGGAAATGGGCTATGACTTGTGCGCGGGCTGAGCGCTCAGCGCAACCATGAACGAGCGAACGAACGCTCTTGCAACGCCGGAGAAGCGATGCATCGGGCGGCGGCTATGCAAGGGAGACAAGTGGTGTGTGTGTGTCATCGGCTTGACACCGCTTATATGTTTTCACTCACGGTCTCTAGCGGTCGCAGACTCCCGTCTACTTCTTCTTCCTCTTCCTTTCCCCTTCCCTCCCCCCCACCGATCCGCCGCGAATGTGGCTGGCCGCCTCCCTTTTTCCCACTCTCCTTCTCTTCTCTCTGCCAGTATGCGCCAAAATCACGGTCTACGGACAGATTCCGCTGGGCAAGATGACGACGACCACGGCGTCGGCGTCGGCGTCCGCCTCCGCGTCGTATACGGGTCTCCCTGCGTTTGATCCGACGACGCTCATTGCGCCGCCCGTTCCCACGCCGGCGCCCCCGACGTCATTCTTCCAGCAGCTCAGCAGCGCGCCCGTGCCGGGGCTATCGATACCTCAGTCCGGACATTTCATGGGTTTCTCCGTCGAGTTCTCGGTCATCAACCAAGTCTGTGCGTGACTTTTTGTCTGCTGTTGCTCTGCGGGGACTGATGCCCGCTGCAGTGGGCTCAAACAGGTTCGTTGATGCGTTGCATTACACCGCGGGGTGTAGTAGCAACAGTGGACTGAAACATGGCGTCTCGCAGTACGCGGCTGATGGTGCCGTTCCTCAATCTCATGGCGAACGTCCAAGCGCGTGCTGGCTCTGTGCGGATCCGGGTCGGAGGAAACACGCAGGACTATGCGGTGCTGGAGCCCAGTCTGCCCAGTGGAAAGATGCTAGGGAAGGAATCGCAGATCTCGACCAATCCTGTGCGTCGTCGTCCTAGTCGCTTCCCGCTGATACTAGATGTCTACTACAGACGAAAACACCGATACTTTTGTACACGCCTGATGTGCTCTACATGCTGGCCAATGTCTCGTCGCTGGTGAACGTGGAATGGTATCTAGGTGCGTGATTCGGGGTGTGGGACGCTCGGGTGCTCATTCGATGACAGGTATTCCACTAAACGATACTACCAATCTCCGCCTGCAGATTGCCGAAGTCGGGGAGGCTATTTTGGGCGACCGTCTCATTACCTTCCAGGCACGTGACAGTCTCAGCTTGCCCTTTCGCTTTTATGCATAACTGACTTCTCAGGTTGGCAACGAGCCTGACCAATATGCGCTGTGGGTTCCGGGATGTCTGGTTTAGCTTCAAGCTCGGCTTATTCTCCATCAGGCATCAGCACCGGCCGCAAGGCTACGGCCCTGCTAACTACTCGGCGGATTTCGGTGTGGTGGACACGGCCCTACGTGCTGACTCGAAAGTGCCTGTCGTGAATGGCAAGCTCATGGGCCCCAGTCTGTCGGGGCAGTGGCAGCCGCAGTCGGTCTGGGACACGAACTTCATCCAGGACTTCCAGCAGAGCTTGGGTGCTTTGTCCATGTCCTTGTGCGTCTCGTCCATGACATAACACGACAGCTCTACTACTGAACGAATTAATTGTCGTTAGCTATCCTGACAACAACTGTGCTGCCGAGTTTGGCGGGCCGTCTGCTCCGAACGCGATTGTCCCTCAGGATGTTTTCTCCGATTATCTGAATCACACGTCCGGGCAGGCGATTGCCGCGAACTACCTCACCAGGTGTGTTGACGCTGTTGTTGTTCTCTGCCCTTCTATGGTCGATGTGACGTTACGCCCAGCACTGCTCTGGCCCAAACCTTCAAACTGCCTTTTGTGATGGTCGAGACTAATACCGCCTCGTGCGGAGGATTCCCTGGCATCAGTGACTCGTTTGGGGCCAGTCTTTGGGCAGTGGATTATGGCCTTCAGCTGGCTTATAGCAACTTTACGAATGCCCTGTTGCATGTCGGTGGTCAAGGAGTTTACTACAATGTGCGTCCCCTTTGCTGTCATTTTATTTTTATTCTTTACTGAGTGTGCTGTGCTTAGCCGTTCACCCGTGAGTCAGACGGAGTCGTCGTGTGCTGTCGTTTGCCAACCACATGTAGCCCCTCCAACGAACGAGACCGCCTTCCACTCATGGACGATCGGGGCGGTCTACTATTCAGTTCTGGTCATTGCTGAAGCGTTCGGCAAGTCGAACCAGTCGCAGATCATCGACCTGCAGACGAACAGCAACAACATCTACACGCCTGCATACGCGATCTACGACGGCGGTGTTCTCGCCCGGTTGGCGCTGTTCAACTATGTCTCGGATCCGAGCGGGGCCAGCGACTACACCATGTCCTTTGCCATCGGGGGCGGCAGCACGGGGCAAGCGAACGGAACGCCTGCGCAGGTCAAAGTCAAGTGCGTGCATAAATATATATATATACATAATTTGGAGAATGATGAATCCAACTAATCACTCCCGCCAGATATCTTTTGGCGCCGTCGGTATCGACACAAGACAACATCACTTGGGCCGGCCAGGTAAAGCGATCATGCCCGCTGCGCTGCCGTCGCTGACCTCAGAACAGACCTTCGGCTCGGCATTTGCCTCGGACGGCCGCATGCAAGGGACCGAGCAGGTGCAGACGGTGACCTGCAACGGGGACAACACCTGCAACATCAAGGTCCCCGCGCCGGGCTTCGCGCTCGTGTTCCTGACGGACATCGCGGCGGACCCCGCGTCGTACCAGACCGTGCAGACGTTCCCGACGACCGCGCTCACCAAGACGGTGAACACCGCCACGCTCAATCCCACGGTCCTCGCGACGTCGAATGGACAGGCCGGCGCGAACTTTATGGAGGCGGGCACGAGCCGCGGCCGCAAGCCGAGTGGCGCCGGGCGGCTCCTCGTGCCGCATTTGGTGGTCGTCGCGCTGTGTATGGGGCTTGGGGCGGCGTTGGTGGTGCTGGGGTAGGGCGGATGGACTTTGATCTGAGCATGGTACGGACTCTTTTTGATATAATGCACTCTCTTCTGTAATCTCACATTGCTCTACTTACTATTCGTATGCTTGCTCGGAACGAGTCGTGTGAGCGACATCCGACAACCTATCAAAATACTCTCCAGACTATTACTCTGATCGTGCGGCTCATCGTTAGGATAAAAATGGTAAATTTGATTGCGTGACATTGGAACGAGAAAGCAATATGTAGTAGTAGAGAGACAACGAGGACAACATTATAGTTTGCGCGCCTTATTAAGTACACCCCATCAAAGAACAAAAACAAGGCAAAAAAGCTGCGACAACTGCGGGCCATCAATCAGCTTGGAAGTCCACACAACACGAGCAGGAGAGGCTGGCACACACCCGGAAATGGAAGAAACAGATGCGAAACACAAGCCAGCAGCGCCGGACCGGACGGGCCGTCCTCCCTCCCTCCCAGACAGACAGACCCAACAGCAGCCAGTCACTGGCCTGCGTGCGGGATTAGTAATACACGGCGCCGTCCGGAGGGGGAGGAGGGGGAGGGTAGTAGCCGTTGTAGAAGAACTGGGACGGCACGTAGTTCCCATACGCGTCGTACCCGCCCTGCGACGTCGGCGGAGGCGGCGGCTGCATGCCGTCGAACGGCAGCTGGAAGTCCCCACCGGCGAGCGACGGCGAGGCCGAGTGCGACGGCACGAACGCCGACGCGCTGGAGCGCAGTTTCCCGGCCGGATCAGCCGCGGAAAGCGGCGAGAGCGGGTGCTTGGGCGCCCTCGGATCGCGGATCTCGATGCGCGAGTTGCGAGGGAACGAGAACAGCGATGGATCCGGGCCGCCCATGCTCATGGACGGCGTGTGATGGTGGTAGGACGCGTACACCGGCACCTGCGGCTGGAGCATGACGTGGCGACCGCTCGACATCTCGTACGGCATCCCGTTCACATCCAGTGCAACACCCGGCGGTAACGGCGCGCTGAATCCAGGCGGAGTCCCAAACTGCGGCGGCGGCGGGGTTCCAAACTGCGGTGGCGGTGTGTGCGTTGCGAAGCCCGGCGGAGGCGTAGGCTGAGCAGCGGCATATCCGGCATGGGGAGGAGGAGATGCGTAAGCTGGCATTGCAGGAAATGCGAATGATGTCGGTGCAGCGAAAGGATAGAATCCTGGCGGAGCAACCAGCGCTGCATGCGTTTGGGGGATCGGAGCGGGTAGAGCCTGCGGCGGAAGTGAAGGTGGCGACGACATAACTGCCAATGCGATCGCAGCAGCAGCAGCATCCGGCCGCACCCACCCATCCTCGTCTGGTTCCAGACCAGTTGTCGGCACCGGCTTCGATGGCTCAACGACAGGCGCAGAGACACCAGGCACGTTATCCCGGACTGAGGGCAAGCGCACAGCATAGTCATACTCCTCATCCAACGCAGCCGGCTTCGAGCGCGTGGACTTGACAGGCCGCGAAACGAGCCGAACTACCGTTGAAGACTTCCCCGGAAGATGGACACGAATTCCGGCGGACTGCCCAGGCCGTGGCTTGAGAGAAGGCTCAGAATAGAGAAAAGCGTCATGCTGCTTGGTCCACATGTACTCCGGTTTCATCGTGTACCAGATGCGGCCGGGCACAGTGCGGTTCAACGGCACACCACGGCCGCGGAGTGCAGCAGCCCCCCGAGCGACCGGCACGTTTCCCCGGGGAGCTGCCCCGCCTCGGGGCCGAAAAGTCTCCTCCCGACGTCGCATCTCCTCGAAGCCATCATGCGTCCAAGCACGGTCCACAGGCGAGTTCGGCTGGGGCTCGGACTCGGGAGCGCTGAGTGCGGGGCGATTGAAGGGCCCGCCCCTGCCCCGGAAGGCGAATCCCCCCCTTGCGCGCCCGCGGGTCTGCCAACGCCCTCGCCACCATCCGCTCAGACTGCGGAGATCTTTATCGAGGAGACGATCGTCGTGGCCCCAGAATTCACCCACGACTGGGACGAACGACGGATCGCTCTCGAGGCGGGACTGGTATGCCTGTCGGGCAGTCTGGCCGGCGGCTCTGCTTACGAAAGGACCTCGGGAGCCGGGGGACGGCCGCGACGAGGACGCAACAGGCTGCTCACCATCCTCGTCGTCACGGTCCTCCTCAGCCCCCTGCTCAGGCTCCTGTTTGTCGGCGTCTTTCCCACGATCGTCCTGGACCTTGCGGATGGCCGACTCATCGAGCTCCCCAAAAGATATGACCGGCAGCCCCTCGGTATCCTCGACCATGTCCGCCCATGCGGTTGAGGTCCCAGAGAAGAACGGCGCTGTGGGTTTTTCGTCTGCGCCGGGGCTGTGGGAGGTGTTGGGGCTGTGGTGGTGGGATGCGGAGCCGTCATCATCATCCGAGTCAGAATCGGTCGAGGAGCCGTGCGTCGAGTCGTCCTCCGAATCGCTCGGCGCCGCCCGCACGACATCATCATCCTCGTCAAGATCTGCGTGGCCGGTTCGTCGTCCTCGGGGTCTGCGTCTTGCGGGCATCGAGGTTGTGGTCAAGAGTGGATGACCGACCAATCAAGCGAAAACAACGTCGAACAGCCTTTCTCTTTGTTTCTCCTCCCCCCTCTCATGCAGCATGACACTGACAGACATCCGTAACGAGGTCGTTGCTGTTATATGACCCGCAGGAGCAAATTGGGGAGACTCAGCGGCTTTTTCGCGGTGGCTTACTCAGTATGGCAGCGAAGTTCACGGCAGATATAGTGGTGTGTAGATTACCGGCTGTCTCAGCTGGGCCGCCAATATGTATATCCAAGTGTACGACACAAATTGGTTGTTCTACCTATGAAAAGCTCCACGGTTTCTTCAATTTCATGCGGTGTTGATCTCTGGGTATGTCGTGTTGCGCATTGCAAGCTCTCGAACACCGGCATCGTCCTGTCTTGCATTTGCTCCCGATCGCTGCTGGTTTCACTTGTTCCGTGCCTCCGTTTGCTCGTCGCCGATCAAGCTCGACTGCCTCTATCTGCTAGTCCATGCGTCTGGGAACCCATCACAGACTCTCATGAACGATTTTTGGTGTTTACTTGTTTATCGGGGGCGTTCTTTATTATGGAGCCAGTACATAGACGCTCGGTTAAACATTATTCGCGCGTTTCCTTTTGGATTCCACGCAATGCTTGTCCCCAGCGTCATTGCGCCCATCGAAAACGCCGCTTTGCGTGGCATTCATTCGTGACTCGAATGAAAGTCCTCATCATCATCACTCAAGCTAGACCTAGAACCAGAAACTGCGTCTTTGCAGCCATGGTGCTTTCCAGAATTGGCCGCCAGAGACAGCCGTGATTTTATCGACATATTTTACTTTGATCATCACCTTCGATGGTCATCTGCATAGTGCTTTTGTTGCGACTTGAAGCTGAAATATTAGTGTTATGTATCGAACATTGAGAGAGCTCCCGATCGAGACCTCAGTACAACATTTTATTATCCGTCATATGCATCTTTCAAAATAAGAATCAGGAATTTAGTATACAGCCCCACGCTACAATTCTGCTTGCCACGTCTCGGTTCAAAACACCGATCATGGTCTTGTGATGGTGACACTTTCCTTTTCTAGCCCTCAGGCGTTGATTGTGCGTCTTTGGGGCCAATAGAACCGGTTGGAGCAAGATGCCGGAACCCGACCCTTATTCCTGTCGCCGTCGTTTGCCCTCTGCAGTCTCGACCTCATGCCCAAGATAACACTGCCCAGCGGGCACACCTGGGCCTACGTCGATGCCAACCCAACCGCGCGCAAAACCATGATCTGCTTCCACGGCTTCCCCGACTGTAAATGAAGATGCAGCTCGTCGTGTGTCGTGTCTCATCGCATACACAGTGGGATTTGGGTATCGACATCAGATTGGGCCGTGGGCGCGCGCCGGGTATCGCGTCATCGTGCCCGACATGCTCGGGTACGGCGGGTCAGACGCTCCTGTCGACCCCGCGCAGTACACGACGAAGCGCTTGGCGGACGACCTTGCTGCGTTGCTCACGGCGCTGTCCGTGGAACGCGCCATTGTTATCGGACACGATTGGGGGTCGTACACTGCTGGCCGATTCGCGCTGTGGCACCGTGAACGCGTCGAGGCGTTGATTCTGTGCGTCTCGCCCCACTCCCTGTATTCTCGCTGACTGAACTATGCAAAGGATGAGTGTCCCTTTCACGCCACACCCTCCCGCGCCAGTCACCTTGCCCGATGTTGTAGCGCGTGCACCGAATCTTGCGTACCAGTTGTATCTCGCCTCGCCAGTCGCCGCGCCGACCATCGAGGCCAATGTCAGTGTCAACACCGCTTTGAGCTACTCTTCGATGAATCTTTCAAGTAGATGTCCAAGTTTCTGTCTCTTATATTCTCGTCCTCCGAAACGATGGCGTCATGGACAGCGGCCAGCGATTCCCTGCCAAAATTCCTTGCAGAAAAGGCGGTTCCGGACCAGCTGCAAGCATGCATCCTCAAGGGCGACGCGTTTCGCGCGTATGAAGCCGGATTCAGCGCTCGCGGTATGACGGGTCCGACCAACTACTACCGCACCACGCATCTCAGATACCAGGAGGAGGAGGCCGGGCACATGGCCTCCGAGTTCCCGGCCGACCTCGATGTGCTATCCCTGTACGGGACCCTGGACGCGACTCTTGCTCCCGCCGCTCTGAAGCTCCAGCGCCGTTTCATCACGCGGCTCACGGAAATCCCACTTCCCGATACGGGACATTGGGTCCTGTTCCAAGATGCAACAGTGGACTCGGAGCCGCCGGCTTATCTGGACGACGGAGAGCCGAGTGATCCCCTCAAGGGCTGGCGGGAGAAGATGAGCAGCGGAGCATGGGAGAATGGACGCGGAGATGGGGGCAAAGTCGGGCGTGCGGTTTTGGATTGGCTGTCTGGGACTGCCCTCAAGGGTAGGTTGTAGCGACGTCATTCACTCATTGTGAGCGAGCTAGGCAATCATCATTCATCGCTTGAGACATCGAGACCATCCATCTGCACGCAACCAAAGCACAACGCGCACCATACGTGTGGCATTCGGTTCAGTGGCACGAGCTCTTGACCAGCTCATGATCAATGCGCTTCTCAGCAGGCTTCTCACCTGATCACCTGTGGCTGTGCATCAACGCGAGTGATTGGCGTCGTTTCATGCTACTGTCTTGCTTGGAAACTGGTGCCCTTGTCTGCTTTTGTCCTTCCCCTTCATATCTCCTGGGACCCTCAAAGAATCTTCTCGGCTATTATGAACCGATCAGAATCAGAGCTATTATTGTATGGGCCAAAACACGACCTTGGCTTCCACACCCTTTTGTTCTTCTTGTCCTATGATCGATATGGGGTCGCGGCCCTGCATTTTTGCACACCCGTCTGTTTTGTGGATACTTTAAAATGAAGATGCGATGTCTGCATCCCACCAGTCGCAACCAGCCCACTGGCAATGTCGTCAACGCCTTCGTCGGTCGCTGTTATTGAATCGCCTGTGGAACAACCGTCCGCTTCCACATCGTCTGCAAATAATCCACCTTTACCATCACCCTCGCCAACTATCCCAGACGGCCCGCGGATGGGCATGTTGCCTTTGCCCGATATGGATATCCTGGGGTCGCCGGTGACTGTCGATGCCGACATGTTTCCTCCGGACGAGCTCGATACGGGCATTCCATTCGACCGCGAATTATTCGAACTGCTCACGTCCGTGGACACGCTCATGTACGGCAGCGGCAGCAGCAGTCCCCGCGCGTTCGCACACACCGGGGACCTCCTCAATTCTCCCGACGGCCAGAACATGCTGCAGTTGGATCCCATGACGTTCGAGACTCTGCGGCAGGAGATCGACGATGAGTTCGAGCGTTCGATGCAGCTTGTCTTTGGGTGTCGGTCGTCCGAGTGGCTTGAGGCGGACATGGGCATGTCGCCTTCGGATGCTGAATTCGACCGCCTGCAGGAAGAGTACATGAACACCTTCGGCGCAGAATTTCCCCGTGCGTAGTCATCAAAACTTTCAATTTGAAGACGCCTTGATTGGAGCTCGCAGTTGAACTAGTGCCGCCGCACTTATTGCACGGCGGTCAAGAAACTGAGGCTTGACCTCCTCGTTTAGTCCTGCTTTTTGTTGTATTTCGTACTTGTGCTATCAGACCGTGACACCTGCGCCGCGCCACCATCTCACAACACCGTCCTGTCCACCACTGATGAAGGCACCGGCGCCTCCAGCAGAGGGTTTTGGTCGCCAGGAGACAGACCACACCTCGCCTGTGTCCTGGACTGTAGAGACCGCTGCTCTTGCACCAATATCCCACACTTTGATCGACTTGTCCGCCGATCTGCAATAGTGAGCATGAGTTAAGCAAAGATCAGGGAATCTGCTCCTCACCCCGATAGCCCAAGCTTTCCATCTTGGGATATATCTGTGCTCAGCACCCACGAAGAGTGGCCCGTAAATGAGGCCACTGTTCCACCTTGTGATGTCCGCACGTCGTGCAGCACGAGACGCTTGTCGTCTGATCCGCTCAACAACAACTGTCACACAGGAATGAGTTGGGACCATAGTGACAGCGGAATGCACTTACGCTGGAGTCCGCCGACCAGGACAGTGCTCGAACAGCGAGTGCATGCGACGTGTAGGTCGCAGAAAGCGCGCCAGCTTCGAGATCGAAGATGTAAATCTGGCCCGCCTCCGTTGAGAGTGCGACGCGTTTTCCGTCAGGACTCTGAACGAGGGATCAGAACAAGCACCTCCCGGTTGATCCCTCCCGACGTACGTGTTTACATTTCATCCCGAACTTGGACCGCCCCGACGCGAGCGATGCAACCCGCTTTCCAAACGTCTCGGGATTCGCCGAATAAATCGATACATTCCCTGAGCTACTCGTCGCCGCATAGGTCTCGCCTTGCGGGTGAAGCGAAACGGACCATGCTGGGATGATTCAGTTCCATTGTAGAGTCCAGTGCGGACGAATACACTTGCATGGCTCCGCGCCCTCCGTTCCACGCGCATAGCTCTCGAACTTGGCCGCCACCTGCCCATTCGTAAGATCCCAGAGCGCCGTCAGTCCTTCTATGCTGTTGTACAGTGCGCGTGTGCCATCCGGGGCGACGGAGAGGGAGACGAGCGCTAGAGTGTGGGGGGGAGGGAACTCTGCGTTCGCGGGATGCCGCTGGCCGGTCGAGGAGTTCCACTGCTTGATCGAGCCATCAGCGGAGACGGAGACGACAGTGTCGAGTGCAGTCCATGACGCGCCCCAGATCGCGTCGGAGTGGGCTAGCGGGGCTGCTGTGAGAGATCATCGAGCACATGCAGTTTGAGAAACGCGCACGTTCTGCACAGTCATGCGCGTGGACGAAGGCAAGACTCTGATACGTTCAGTTGAGGAGCAGGATCGCGGGGGTGAACGCGGCGACGCACCATGACCGTCAGTATGAATGAGATAAGAATACAAGTTGAAGCGGCTTCAATGCGTTCGCGCAAAGTTGCGGCTGAGGTCGTGATTTGATGGTATGCCACGTGACTGGAATGTCGTCGCGTCAATACAT